GACTGTCTAAGCTTTTTAACTCTCTCACAGTAAAACAACAAAAACAACAACAACAAAGTCCAACAAGAAAATGGACTGGATAGGAACAGACACTTCTTTGAAGAGAATATAAGGGCAGCAAGTAAGCACATGAAAATATGTCTAGCATCATTAAAGAAAAACCAATATGGAGGCTGCACTCTGAATGTATCTCTAGACCCCAGGCTCACAGTCACATAACCAAATTGTAACACTGTTCTGATTTCCCTAAAATGCTGCCTGACCTTAAACAAAACCTTTCTTCATGTCAATGTGACCTCACAGTATTCTAGCTAATAAGCTACAAAAAAGTAAGCTTAGCAATGAAAAGGAAAGTAAATTTCTAGAAACTAATCACAGTAGAAAACAATTCATTCATTCATTAATGAACTGCTGGAATCACTTGTGGTTTGAGGTCTCCCTGTTCAGAAATAATTTGATCCTTGCCCAATAAAATACCCATATCAAGTAAAGCTCCCTGAATTTTCTTTTGACATTTGTCACAAGGTAAATGCAAATTAAAATCATGAGATATCACAACACACCTATCAAATGGCTAAAACACAAAATAACACCAAATGCTACCAAGGATGCAGAGAAATTGGATCACTCCTATATTGCCTGTGAGAATGTAAAAGGGTACAACCACTCTACAAAATAGTTTAACAATTTCTTTAAAACTAAACTTCCAAATAACATGCCATCTGGGCATTAATCCCAGAGAAATGAAGCCTTATGTTCAAAAATCTCTATCACAGCTAAAAAGTAAAGAGTCCAGATGTCCTTCAGTGGGTGAATGGTTAAGCAGACAACAGTATATCCAATAATGGAATATTACTCAATAATAAAAATGAAGGGAAATATTGATGCATGTAACAACTTGGATGAATTTAAAGAGAATTATGCAGAGCAAAAAAAGCCAATCTCAAAAGGTTACGGATTCAATTTAGGTAAAGCTGAAATCATATAATTACAGAAATAGGGAACATATATATTAGTGATTGACAAGGGTTGGGGGGCATGAAGTGGGAGGGAGACGAATTTGGTTACAAAATGGCAACATGAGGAGATCCCTGGGGTGTTGGGAATGTTCTATATCTGGACACTATCAATGCCAACATCCAGCTGTGATATTATACTGTCATTCTCCAAGTAGTTAGCACTGGGGGACTCTTTGTATTATTTCTTATATAAACATGTACATACTTTACCTCAAAATAAAAAGTTTAACTAAAAATGGTTTACTGGCTCACAAATTGTTCATCATATATTTCATTCTTATCTCTACATCGGAAATAATTTGAATATTAACCTCAAAACGTATTCAAAATCTTGTTAAGTGTGTTCTTTTTATGAGTTCTGGGGAGTAGAGGGCTATGAGGCAACCGAGACTAATTTTCATCTTTGATTTTACCTGTGTATCCTTCAAAGATTTAAGGGATGACTAAAGAATAAGAAGGAGAAGGCAATGGCAACGCACTCCAGTACTCTTGCCTGGAAAATCCCATGGACGGAGGAGCCTGGTAGGCTGCAGTCCATGGGGTCGCAAAGAGTCAGACACGACTGAGCGACTTCACTTTCACTTTTCACTTTCATGCATTGGAGAAGGAAATGGCAACCCCCTCCAGTGTTCTTGCCTGGAGAATCCCAGGGACGGGGGCGCCTGGTGGGCTGCTGTCTATGGGGTCACACGGAGCCAGACACAACTGAAGCGACTTAGCAGCAGCAAAGAATAAGAGGTATTCTTCATATACATCTGTGGTTGGTTAAGGCTATGAAGTTTGGAGGGAAAACGTGAGATTTCTGTGAGTTTCTCCTTTAAGAATAGTGAACAGCTTCCAAGTAGCATATAATACCCGCCAGCAAGACTTAAGGAAAAAGATTTTGGATTCTTCATTAATTTTTTACATTTATTTACTTAGGCTGCACTGGGTCGTCATTGTTGCATGCGGGCTGTCTCTAGTTGCAGCAAGTAGGGTCCACTCCTCTTTGCAGGATCTTCCTGGAGCAGGGATTAAACCCATGTTCCCTGTATTGGCAGGTGGATTCTTAACCACTGGGCCACCAGGGAAGTCTCTCTACTTTAGAATCATTTAGAAGCTCCTGATACTGAGGGAAATTATTTCAGTGGTATCAAACCTAGTAGTTCACTTATTTACTGTTGCTCTGTGTATTAGAGATCCTTACTGTTTTTGGTCATTTCAAACTCTTTAACACATTTTTCAGATAATTACGGAAGTCAGAAGGGGCTTCCCAGGTGGTGCAGTGGTGAAGAATCCACCTGCCAATTCAGGAGGTGCATATTCGATCCCTGGACACATGAAGATCCCCTGGAGAAGGAAATGGCAGCCTACTCCAGTATTTTTGCCTGGAGAAATTTCATGGACAGAGAAGACTGGAGAGCCATAGTCATGGGGTCACAATTGAGCACACACACGCAAGTCAGAAAACAATATTTAGTGTGAAATCGATTTTAAAATTGTATCAATTGTTAAGATTTCAACAGGAAGCTTACGAAATCTTAATGAGAAACACATGGTGTTCTTCGGTGGACTGTTTACAATGACTTGCTGCGCTTACTGTAAGAAGCTGGCACATCCCTGTGTGGTGTGCATTCCTCCTGGTAGACTCACCACTGATTCTTGTTTGGGCCACGTTACCTTTGTAAGCAGAAGTGACTGGTAACTCCTACCTTTGAGAGAAAGCTTTAAAAGACATCACAGGGTTTGGTCATCTCTTTTCATTTATGCCAGGAGTCTGGGATGTCCTAGGTAAAGGTCTCTGATAAAGAACACGTAGCTGAGTCAGAGCCAACTCATCAAAGGACATGTATCTCAAATGAGACATCTGTTTCTGTAAGTCACTGAGACTTAGGGATTTTTGTTTCTGCAGCATAACCTAGTGAAAGCTGAGTAACTTGAACTTAAACCCTACAGAAGCTTAATTTATTCCCATTTTCTTCCTACTGGAGATGAATGAAGAATGACTTGGGGATTTCCCCAGATGGTCCAGAGGTGAAGACTACACCTGCCAATGCAGAGGACACAGATTTAATCCCTGGTCCAAGAAGACCCCACACGCCATGGGGCAACCAAGCCCCCGGGCCCCAACTGCTGAGCACGCGTGTGCAACAGGAGCAGCCTCTGCAGTGAGACGCCCATGCACCCGGAGAAGAGCCCCACCAGACGTGACTGGAGAAAGCCCGCACGCGGCAACGAAAACCCAGCACGGCCAAGAGTTTTACAAGAGCAAATACAATTAAAAAAAAAAAAAGATTTGAAAGTTTTCCTAAATCTTTACAAACACAGAAACTATCTGCTTAAATGACTTCAACGTGACAATGGTTTAAACTTAAATTCTGATTAACTCAACATTATTTATAAGTTATATACATGTGCTCTTGTACAAATATATATATAAAACATGCAGGAATGGAAATTTTAAAATTATTAGGTAAAAATGATACATATGGCACTTAAAATATTAGTAATACAAAATTCTTTTGCTCTGGTTTATTTGTGAATGATTTTTCCCCCTTTTTTCTTTCTCCTTCTCCCTTTTTAAAAAATAATATAACACTTTGAATTTCACCAAAGATTTGACTCCCAGATTCAGTTTACTTGGTTTAAATGGATACCATGGCTGAAGAGATAATTTAGAAAGATATGGAAATCTAAATGGATATAGATAAAGCTCATTTCTTAGACTGCACTAATTATATTATGATACTACCAATTCCACTCACTGATTCTAAACCAAAACAAAACAGAATCATTTACAAAACAGAATTATTTGCTTTAATCTACACTATCTGTGATCATGACCAGTTATACAGGGACACATGTTCAGCATGACAGCAGGAAAATTCTCTTTAATTCCGTTGCAACTCTCAATCAGATTCCCATTTATGTCTCGTTTTAAGTGTTATTTTCACCTAACACTTCATTTTTTTAAAATTGAAAACTTACAGAAAATTTGAAAGAACAGTATAAAATTAACATTTTGCTCTGTTTCTATACATCTTTACTTTTTTTTTGGTCAAGCAATTTACAGGTAAATTGTAGACATAATTTCTTTTTTTTTTTTAATGAAGAGAAAGTAAACATGAGGTTTATCAGCTCCAATGAGTAATAGCATCCAGCTAGAATTTGGTAATACTGTCTTGATTCACCATATTTATTTTTTTGGTTATCCTCTGTTTATAACGAATGAGGTTTTCTATTTACTTAACAAGAAAAGACTCCTTTAAGAATTGTTTAAAAACATAACCAATTAAAAATGTTAATTAAATAATACATGGCAAAAAAAAAAGCCCTCTCCTGTAATCAAAATGATAGAGTAGAAGGACATGTGCTCATCTTCTCCTGCAAGAGCACCAAAAACACACCTAGCTGCTGAACCACCACTGACAGGAGGATGCTGTAACCCACCAAAAAAAGAACACCCCGTGGCCAAGGACAAAGGAAAAGCCGCAAGTAGGAGGGGTGCAATCACGTGAAAATCTAATCCCGTACCTGCCAGGTGGGCGACCCACAAACTGGAAAACAATGATGCCAAAGAAGGTATCGCACTGTTGCAAAGCTTCTAGGCCCCACATCAGACTTTCCAACCTGAGGATCCAGCAAAGGCACAGGGAACCACCAAGGAATCTGACTCTGGACAGTGGGATTTGATTACAGAACTTCCATAGGACTCGGCGAAACAGAGGCTCTTGGAGGGCACGAACAAAACCTTGTGCACACCAGGACCCAGGGGAAAGGAGCAGTGACCCACAAGGATGAGCCAGACCTGCCTGGGAGTGAGTGAGGATCTCCCGTGGAGGCGTGGGCTGGCAGGGGCATATATTCACTTTATTTCAAGGAAGCCACCCAAGATGCAGACCACACTTATTTCTAAATATAACATTAAGCTCTGAGTATGTAGCTTGGTATGTAGACAATTAACAATAATTTTGTAAACACTGGCTAAAAAGAGGCAAGTACCTGCATAGCAATAGGTCCCTGGGACATCTGAGAGCTGTAATTCATCCCTATCATGCCTTGCATGTTAGGCTGCATGACTGAGACCACAGGAAAGCCTTGCTGCTGCATCGGCATCAGCCCTGCTGAAAAACAAAGGTATCGTTAAAGTCAATGTGTTTTACAGTTTACTTTCTCTTTTTTTTTAAGTCTACTTTCTTAAAACCCTAAGTACCTAAACGACCTGTTTGTTGGGAAGTGGCGGAGTAAAGAGGAAGAGGCACAGGCTCTGGCGTGAGACAGACTTGCTTTGAATTACTTAGCTTTGTGGTCTTGGGCAAGCTAACAAAACTTCATCTGTAAAATGAAGATAATAATACTTGTACAGAATTTTTGTGCATACTTAAAAAACACACAATATGACCTATCTGGCCTTCAAGATGACCCCCAGGGATCTCTGTCTCTTGGCATTCATGTCCTTGTCCTTCCCTCCCACACTGAATAGGGTTGACCAGTATAACCAATGGGACACTGTGGAAACGAGGCTTGTTCTCAGTAACTGTGCAGCTTCATCCTTGTTCTCTGGGATCAGCTGTTGGGAAAGCCACTGCCACATCATGAGAATACTCAAGCAGTCCTCGGGAGGATGGAGAGTCCATGTGGCAAGAACTGAAACCTACTGCCAAAAGGCAGCACAAATTTGCCATCTATGAGAATGAGCCATCTCAGAAATAGATCTTCCAGCCCCATCAAACCTTTAGATGACTACAGTCCTAACTGACATCTTTACTGCAATCTCCTTGGTCCTGAGCCAAAACCACCCAGGGAGCTTACTCCCAGATACCTGACTCACAGACACAGTGTGGTTTACTATTTTAATAGTAAACTGTTTAAGTTTTGGGGTAATTTTCTATGCAGCAGCAAATAACTAGTAGTTAAGAGTTAATACTAATTAAGCCACTTTTAATACAAAAGTAGGTTAAGAGCATGAACTCTTGAAGCTGACTAAAAATATCACTTCCTAGGTTTGGGACCTTGGGCAAACTTGCTTAACTTCTTTCTGTACCTTGATTTCACATTCACAACACTGTATAATACCTAATATGCTTAAAGAAATGGCACTTCTCTTTTCTTTCCTTACATAGTTAATATAATACCACAAAACAGCCATCAGCATGCAAAGTATATAATGGATGAAAATATGATTTATAGTATGGTACCTCCCAAACTTTTCCAAAGTAATAGTCCCAAGAGGAGAATGAAAACTACATTCCTCTAGGGATTTAATAAATACTAAATGTCTACTATATTTCAGGAACCGTTTTAAATACTTGGTATGCAACAGAGAATAAAACAAAATCCCTATATAACCTGAACACAGATTTCATCCTAATTTTACACTGTACCACAGATCACATCCATGCTAGTTCTAGTATAAAGATTAAAAGAATCAAATTTTGATTAAAAAAAATTAAAGGTCTGGTAAAGTCTACCATGTTTATCTAGCGGGTTGTGTGTACCTTCAAGGATATTTAGAGTTTAATATCAGAAGCATGGATACTACATTTGAGGTAACACTGATCAGTGGCATTATTCATTTATACTAATCATTTATTCAAATATTTGAAGCCCTACTCCACGTCAGGTACCATTCTAGGTATGTAGCATTGGACAAAGCCAGGTCTTTACTCTCATGGAACTTACACTGTAACTGGGGTAGATTAATAAAAAAAAAATAAGTGGACATCAGGTGAGGGTAAGGGGTAAGAAAGTCAGGGAGAAGAGTGGCTGCACCAAAAGGATGGCATTTAAGCAAAGACTTGAAAGAGTTAGAAAAGGTTTCACCAAAAGGATGGCGTTTAAGCAAAGACTTGAAAGAGTAGGGAGTGAGCCAGGCGGGCACCAGGGAGGAGCATTCTAGACAAGGAACACCAAATTCGAAGGCCTTGAGGCATCACAGACAATGAGAATGCAGAGACTGGATATAGCACAGGAGGATGTTATCCCTCCGATGCCTTTGGACCTACAGTTTTATTTTCATAATTTTATTTAAGTCCTGAACAGGTAAATCAAAGATATGGCATAACATTTAAAGGCACAGAAGTACATACAGTTGAAAAACAAGTCTTGTTTCTCTCCTGTCTCCCATTCACCTTGGTGGCCACTCTTGTCAGTTCCTTGTACAGGCTCTCAAAAATAACCCATGTGTAATTTAAAGTCTTCAAAAGATCAAAAAGTCCACTCTAACACACTCCGTAAAAAAAAAAAAAAACCTCGAAAACAGCTGCAAATTCCAGAAGAAAAAAATATCAGGCAACCTTTTGGGCTCTATCCTTGTCCTGTTCCTTTGCTTCATATGTAGATTTTTACTTGAAAGTTTATAAAAATGCAAAATGAGCCACAAAAATAAACACAAAATGCTGTGATGTCTTCCTAAACAACAGCATACCTCCTACCACTTGATCAAAATCTAGGACACATCTAATTACAGAGAGCTTAAATAATGAATAAGCGTGAGTCCAATGAAAAGAATACAATTGACCCTTGGAAAAATTTACCTGAAACGCAGCCTCTATCACTGATTATGAATGGAGACACTGACTACCTGCTACTGAGCTGCTCTTTATCACTGATCTCTACTGGTGACCTGGGAGTCTCTGTTTCTGTAGCAGGCCTACCATAACCGGTCAACACTGGCTTTGTGAGAAGGGCCAGTTTTCAGAGAGCCTTGGACTGTGGAGAGGAAGTGGGTACACAGGAGTGGGAGAAGTGAGCAGACAGACAAGCATATTCTTCTGTCAATGTTCTGTCCCAGTGGTACAGCAACATGAGCTGAGATTATATCCCTTCACTCCTGTATGCTTGAAGACAAAGCTAGAATAGATATTGGTGGGCCCATGTCTGAAACTAAAAGAGAAGGAATATACCTAGCAGACAAACTGCTAGAAACACAACTGAGACTTAAAATAGTTTAAACAGAAGCAGAATGTGATCACTTATGTACATGATTATAGTAAGATAAAATTCATGTACAGAAAACATGGGATAAAACAACTAAAGAGGTTCATTTATTCATTCTATAAGCATCTATAAAGACCTGACTATTTTCTATCAGCATGCTGGGTGCTGGAGATACTCACGAGCATAAGGCAGACAAAGCCCTTGCCCCATAGAGCTAACAATCTAGAAGACAGGAGAAAGTTGGCATTCAGAGAACTACAATTCATTTCATTTTTGTCTCCTGTTTAATACTCTTGTCTTAAAAGTATCCTTCATCTCTGAGGTTAAATAACAACCTGTTGATCTGATAATTAAATAAGTTTGGGAGAAATGAGGAATAATTTTTTTTTATTCCCCAGATTACCCAATTTTTGAGAAATTTTAGGAGTAAGCTATCAGGTTCAAGACAACAAGAAAATTTTACTCTATTTGGCAGCAACAGAACCTTTTTTACTCATTTGGTCCCCAGGTTCAGAAAAAAATAGTGAAAAATGAAAGCTGACAACACACACTTTCACATACCTTGAGGGGGTCTTAATCCACTGGCAACTGGGAACATGAAGCTGAAAACAGAACAAAGATACATCAGGACTGGGACTTCCCTGGAGGCCCAGTGGCCGAGAACCTGCCGTGCAAAGCAGGGGATGCGGGTTTGATCCCCGGCTGCAGAACCAAGACCCCACATGCCTAGGGGCAACTAAGCCTGCCTGTCCCAACTACTGAAGCAGCATGTCGCAACCGAGACCCAATGCAGCCAAATAAATAATATTTTTAAAAAATATATGAGGATCTTCAAAGTGCAAAGATTTCAGATAAAACATGTAATATTTTACATAAATTAAACCTTAGCCAGGGCCCTGGTATCTGTTCCACGGTATAATAATTGTAGATTTTTACTTGAAAGTTTATAAAAATGCAAAATGAGCCACAAAAATAAACACAAAATGCTGTGATGTCTTCCTAAACAACAGCATACCTCCTACCACTTGATCAAAATCTAGGACACATCTAATTACAGAGAGCTTAAATAATGAATAAGCGTGAGTCCAATGAAAAGAATACAATTGACCCTTGGAAAAATTTACCTGAAACGCAGCCTCTATCACTGATTATGAATGGAGACACTGACTACCTGCTACTGAGCTGCTCTTTATCACTGATCTCTACTGGTGACCTGGGAGTCTCTGTTTCTGTAGCAGGCCTACCATAACCGGTCAACACTGGCTTTGTGAGAAGGGCCAGTTTTCAGAGAGGCTTGGACTGTGGAGAGGAAGTGGGTACACAGGAGTGGGAGAAGTGAGCAGACAGACAAGCATATTCTTCTGTCAATGTTCTGTCCCAGTGGTACAGCAACATGAGCTGAGATTATATCCCTTCACTCCTGTATGCTTGAAGACAAAGCTAGAATAGATATTGGTGGGCCCATGTCTGAAACTAAAAGAGAAGGAATATACCTAGCAGACAAACTGCTAGAAACACAACTGAGACTTAAAATAGTTTAAACAGAAGCAGAATGTGATCACTTATGTACATGATTATAGTAAGATAAAATTCATGTACAGAAAACATGGGATAAAACAACTAAAGAGGTTCATTTATTCATTCCATAAGCATCTATAAAGACCTGACTATTTTCTATCAGCATGCTGGGTGCTGGAGATACTCACGAGCATAAGGCAGACAAAGCCCTTGCCCCACAGAGCTAACAATCTAGAAGACAGGAGAAAGTTGGCATTCAGAGAACTACAATTCATTTCATTTTTGTCTCCTGTTTAATACTCTTGTCTTAAAAGTATCCTTCATCTCTGAGGTTAAATAACAACCTGTTGATCTGATAATTAAATAAGTTTGGGAGAAATGAGGAATAATTTTTTTTATTCCCCAGATTACCCAATTTTTGAGAAATTTTAGGAGTAAGCTATCAGGTTCAAGACAACAAGAAAATTTTACTCTATTTGGCAGCAACAGAACCTTTTTTACTCATTTGGTCCCCAGGTTCAGAAACAAATAGTGAAAAATGAAAGCTGACAACACACACTTTCACATACCTTGAGGGGGTCTTAATCCACTGGCAACTGGGAACATGAAGCTGAAAACAGAACAAAGATACATCAGGACTGGGACTTCCCTGGAGGCCCAGTGGCCGAGAACCTGCCGTGCAAAGCAGGGGATGCGGGTTTGATCCCCGGCTGCAGAACCAAGACCCCACATGCCTAGGGGCAACTAAGCCTGCCTGTCCCAACTACTGAAGCAGCATGTCGCAACCGAGACCCAATGCAGCCAAATAAATAATATTTTTAAAAAATATATGAGGATCTTCAAAGTGCAAAGATTTCAGATAAAACATGTAATATTTTACATAAATTAAACCTTAGCCAGGGCCCTGGTATCTGTTCCACGGTATAATAAAATATTGAATTATCCACCATCAAAACAGGTTGAGCATCCACAGTATGCATGACAGTCAGCAGGTCAGCCAAGGCGGAGAATTTTGAACCAGAAGAGGGAAGACTTTGAAACTGACCCTGGTTCTGTCACTGTGTGACTCCCCTGGATTCCGATCTCTCCATCCATAAAATGAGAGGGCTGGCTTAGATTCAATTCAGTGAACACTTATTGGGTGCCCATTACGTGAAAGGCCTGAATGAGCTCAGGCTTGCTGAAGACACAGACGCAGGCAAGTAACTTTTAACATAGGACAGACTGTACTAAGGGCTGTGAGAGGGCGGGCCAGAATACTAACAGAAATGAGAAGAAAACAGACTAATTTGATGGGTGAAACCTTCGGAAGGTTTCTGGAGGTATCTCTTGAGCTGTATCTTAAAAGAAAGGCATGCTATACAGCCATAGTTTGAACAGAAGTTCAGAGGCTGACACTCTAGGCATGTTCAGCAAAATGATTTAGGCCGAACACAAGACACAGGATTGGAAAAGCAAGCAGACTGGAGAAGGCCTTTAAAATGTTTGATTCTGAATAGTACATAAAGTCAGATTTTTAAAAATTGTGGTAAAATATACATAATATAAAATTTTACCATTTTAACCATTAAGTTTACAGTTCAGTGGCATTATGATGATGTACAACCACCACCAAGATCCATTTCCACAACTTTTTCACCATCACAAACAGAAACTCTGTAGTCATTAAACAATAACTCCCCATTACTTTCTCCCCCCTCAACCCCTGGTAACCACTATTCTACTTTTTGGTTTGATGAATATGTCTATTCTAGCCACCTTAGATGGAATCATACAGTATTGGTCCTTTTGCATCCGGCTTGTTTCACTTAGCATAACATTTTCAAGGTTCATCAAGTTGTAATATGTGTCAGAATGTCATTCCCTTTTATGGCTGGATAACATTCCATTGTTTGTACTTACCACATTTTGCTTATCCAACTTTGAGTTGGCTGTTGTGAATAATGCTGTTATGAACATTGATGTACAAGTATTTCTTGAGAGTCCCTCTTTCAATTCTTTTGGGTCTCTACCTAGGATTGGAGTTGCTGGGTCATACAGTAATTCTCTGGTTACTTTTTGAAAAACTGCCTGTTATCCACAGCTGTGCCATTTTACATTCCCAATGGACCAGAGTTCCAATTTTTCCACATCCTCCACCAACACTTATTTTCTGGATTTTTGTTTGTTTGTTTATAACGATAGCTATCCTAAGGAGTGTGAAGGACTACCTCACTGTGATCTGGATGTACATTTCCCTGATGTCAGAGGTTCTTGGCAGGGAAATGATCAGAAATGTGCTGTACGTTTCTCTGGTAATGAGGTATGCAGAGAAGACTAGGAAGTAACAAGAATTAGCTAAAGAAACTTAAAATAATCTTAATAAGAAAAGGGCCATAACCAGAGTAGTAGGAATGGAAAAGAAGAGGTGAATGAAAGTTATTTAAAAGGAAGAATCAACAGGACTTAGCAACTACCTGGGTGGAGAACAGTATTGAAAAAGCTGAAAGAACTGAAGATGCCTCTGAAATTTGGGGCCAGAGTGACTAGAAGGACGAAGATGCTGCTCACTGCAGGCAGGAACCCAGTGTCAGCAGGTGTGGGGAGTAAGGTGCTAGGACGGTGTCCACGGGGAGCAATCTAACAGGCAATCAGAGAAGCAACACCAGATCAAGAGAAGGGTCTGCATCAACCTAGCGAGGCTCTTTTACTTATTTATTTTTTGGCCACACTTTGTGGCATGTGGGATCTTAGTTCTCTGATGGGATCAAATCCGTGCCCCCTGAAGTGGAAGTACATAGTCTAATCACTGGGCCACCAGTGATTAAGTAGGAAGTCCCCTAGGCTCTTCTAAATAAAGGTAAAAAGAGAAAAAAAATTAAGGTCTGGTTGTGGATGAAGGGGTCAAAGGGATGTGTATACATAGTGAGAAGACAACAAAAGACAAGCTTGGAGAATTCTTAGTGAAAACTGTGTAGGGAACGGTCATTGAGAACAAAGGAAACGGACTATAACTGAAAGTTATAACTGGGGTAGGACCACATTTAAGGAAGGAGTCACCAGTGTCTAATGCTATTGAGAAGTTGATAAGAATGGGGGTTAATAAATAAAGAATGCTGTTTTAAAAAATGATGATCTTTGAGTGAACAGTTTCATCACAGGAGACAGGACCTGCAGAAATAAAGATTTAGGATACAAAAGTTAAAGAGACTGAGAAACAAGGTTTTTGAGAGGAAAGGATTAACACAGCAAAAGGATGAAGGACTTCCTTCTCTGAGACCAGAAAGACAGAAAATGGGACAAATACAGAGGAAGAAAAAATCTGAGTGGGAAAAGTCCTTAAATCTGGAAGATAAGAATCTGAAGGGGATTTCTGAGTCTTTATAGGCACATAGTGAGATCCAGGAATAGTATGCCAAATTTAGGTGTCTTTGCATTTTTTTATTGCATGACACTCCCCTCGACCCAGGAAAAGGGCTAAAACCCAAACTGCAGAGTCTTCTAACTTTAAAATTCTTTGATCAATAACTTTTTTGGTAAGGTGGTTTACAAATTTCTAGTTGGACATCTACCTGGTTACGTGTCATTTACAGCCTTGTAGAGGATCTGAAACACTCACAAATTCTGCTGACAAGTGGGCCTGAACCCAAAGAGAAGCTTGAACAGTGAACAGCTTTTCTGAACGGCACACAAAATGTATTAGCTAAGCAATGTGTTAACTGGATAAAATGTTTAAACTGCAAGTTGAAATTTGGTAGGATTGTTTTTTCTTAAAAGTTAATCATACACTAAGATTTATAAACTGATGAGCAATGCATTTAAGAAGTCAACACGTTGAGACTTCAAAATCAGTTTTAAAGATTACAGACTTATAAAGGTTACTTTGAAAATATACACAAAAACTAAATTAAGGCTATTACTAGATAAAGAAGATGCAGTACATACATACAATGGACTATCACTCAGCAATAAAAAGGAAGAGAACTGGGTCATCTGTAGAGATCTGGATGGACCCAGAGACTGTCACACAGCATAAAGTAAGTCAGAGAGAGAAAAACAAATACCGTATATTAATGCATACATGTGGAATCTAGAAAAATGATACAGATGATCTTATCTGCAAAACAGAAATAGAGATCCTGGCATAGAGAACATAGGTATGAACACCAAGGGGGAGAAGGGAAGGGGTGGGAGGAATTGAGAGACAGGGATCGACATATACACACTACTGATACTATATATATATACTATGTAAGTATGAGAACCTACTGTATAGTTCAGGGAACCCTATTCAGTGCTCTGTGGTGACCTAAATAGGCAAGAAATCCAAGAAAGAGGGGACACATGTATACGTATAGCTGATTCACTTTGCTGTACAAGTAGAAACTGACATAACACTATAAAGCAACTACATTTTAACAAAAATCAATAAAAATAAGAGTATTACTGACAAACATGACTTACTCCAATAATTATACAACAACCCAAACTACCTACTGACCTATGTACCACTCATAAGACTCTCTGAAATGTTTAGACGACTAACAGTCACCATACCTAATGACCGGTAAGATACTGATAAAGAGAGCAAAAGCTTGGCCAAAAACTGGGCAGCAAGATGACAAGCAATTTGACTTCCAAGATGAAGCCACTATGCATTACTGAGGTCCTAGTATGAAAGCAGCACGGTGAGCTCTGTTCATCACATGCCTATCTCATTCATCCTCCATTTCCCGCTACCTTCGCGACTAACCCAGATCAGCCTTCACTTCTCTCTGAAGCCTGGACTCAACAAGACTTCCCAATGGATCACCCCACTGGCAGACTCTACGGCTTCTAATGCAGTTCATGTAGCACACGTGAGGCGCATCTCCCAATGGACCATTTGATAAGGCTGCATGTGTGCATGCTAAGTCGCTTCAGTCCAGTCTGACTCTGTAAGATCCCATGGACTGTAGCCCGCCAGGCTCCTCTGTCCATGGGATTCTCCAGGCAAGAATGCTGGAGTGGGCTGCACGCCCTCCTCCAGGGGATCTTCTCGACTCAGGAAAGAAACCACATCTCTTACGTCTCCTGCACTGCCAGGCAGGTTCTTTACCACTAGCGCCACCTGGGAAGCCCTTGATAAGGCTGCTCCTGGGATTAAAACAATGCAGTGATTCCTTCCTTAAATCAAACTTCCTTAGTTTATATTCAAGGCCTGCTCCAGTTGTACCAGAACTTTTTCAGCTTTCTCTCACAACTCTTCCCTCCCACCCAGGGCCACAGTCCAGCCACCCAGCCTGCCTGCTGTCCCCTACTGTTCACTAGGCCTTCCCATCTACATGACAATCTCTTGACCCTTTCCTCTTCCTCAAAATGAGGCCTAGCTGAAACAGCTCTTCTTCGCCTCCAATGATGCTTGAATCCACACATATTTATAGAATGTTTTCGGTGAGTAGAATGTGCTGCAGCAGTGGAAGATAAGATGAGGAGGCCCTTTAAGGAGCTTATAAAAGCAGGAAATGGACAGGCTTACAATGATATCCCAGAAGGACACAGACTAACCAAGATTTTTCAACTTTCTTCCCCCTAATATACTTGACTTAAAAAATGCTTTTTTACTTCTCATCTCTCGGATAAATTTTGCCCTTTATACAACTCTACAATTTATTCCAAGTAGGCCATTCAGGATACCAGTCAAAAGGAGGCTAACATTAATAAAGTTGGAAAATATCAGTGCTTTTTGCTTAGCCTCTTAGCAAACAGAGAAGTACCTAAGAAATATAGTAAATTATGGTTAATGGATTTCCTTTATTAAAAGCTGACAGAGACTGCCTGGTTCTTTTTCTTTTTCCCTAAAATATACTTAGGTTGCAACCATAACATTAGCTTCTTCAGCCCTCACCACTGGTCTGTAAAAGCCGTACACTTTTTAAATTAAGCATAGTTTCTCAGCCTCAGAAAATCTCCAATACAGGTAATACTTACCACACATTTTTCAATATAAAATTGAGTTATTCTCTCATATAGTCTATAGTTTAATAACACAACATTACAACCAAATTTTAAATAGGAAACAAAAATTTTAAAGTTCTAACGTCTATCACAATTCAGGCCATATTTAGGAAAAAAGAATTGTGCTCATGTTAAACTACAGACTAAAGGAAATGATCCACTCAACTTTCTACACCGAAGATGCCTTCATCTTCTCTGAAAAAAACAAAAATCCCAAATGAAAACCAAAATAAAAAAAAACCCAAATCTGTGTGTAAAATGCCAAATTCTTTTATATTTCCCTAGAATTTGGTGCCATGATTTATCATATACTTGATTAAATTAATGCCACTCACAAACATTTTAGAAACAGTCCTGACGTTCAGAAAAGAGATTTACATATTTGTCTTCTCCAGCCAGTAATGAATTATGCTAAAAAAATTAACAAATATGCTGAAAAACTAGTGCAACAGTGAAAATCTGAAAACAGAAGTGGGGGGAAGCAGTCTTAAATCTAAAGCTAAAGACGTGTAGAGAAAATGAAAGATGGAGTCGCACACAGGTGGTTTATTTAACAGCAACTGCTTTTTTTTTTTTCTGGCATATATATATATATATATATTACAAGCACCTGCAGGAGGTGATGACTTTAAAGGCTTCACACTGTGGTATTCATGACTCCAAAATTAAAACCCTACATATCAAAAAACTAACACTTGGTTTTCCAAAAATAATTTGGGATGCTGAAGATAAAGAACTAAATTTATCTCCAAACGTGTATGAACCTCGGGTTGGCTAGCAAAACAAAGTCAGACTAGGTCATTAACAGAAGTGGGATGAAAACGTCCCAGAATCAAGCATTTCCTTAAACGGTAAACTTGCCAGGTTGCACTCATTCATTTCTTTTATCGTTCTGGATATGAGAAGCACTGGCGATTAGCAGCTGAAATATGACAGAGAAAACAAATTTGTTTAAGGATTAAGTAAAAGTCTGGAAGCTTTGTCCTGATAACTGCCTACGTGCCGTTCAACAGTGAATTGGTGTTTATTGAGGAGACAGGTGTTAAGAATTACCTCTACAAGAGCTCTTTAACAAATGCAAAGGTCTTCAGGTTTTCCTGTTTCTGGTATGCTAAGGAAGGACGAGGCGGTGAAAGGCGAACAGTGTGTGGACACACATACACACATATACCTTGGAAACACCTGTCCAGCTCTGTGAAAAGATCTTTCGGGGCCCCTGATGAAGCCCTGGGAAAGGGAAGTCTCTGGCAGCTTCAGATCCAGCCGGGCTAGAAGCGAGGCGTCGGGGTCCCTCCTTGACCCACCCGGCCGGCTGCCAGCCGCGCCAAAGGGACCCTAGCCTCCTGCCCGTCTCCTCCCCGCTCGGCGCCAGAGCCCGAGCGTAGAGGACAGGAGTCCGGCGCCCAGGCTCCATCCGCCCCTCCGGCCTAGGTTACCGGAGGACGACCCTTCTCCCGCAGCCCTAGTTTCGAAGGAACAGGGGTCGGCGCGGGCGAAAACCGCCATAACCGCCGACCACCCGTGGCCGGTGCGGGGCCCCTGCGTCGGCGAGGCGCGTCCTGGCCCAGCTCCTCACACCCACCTGCCTCCCCCGGCGGCCCCCGCGCCGGCTCCCGCGGCCCCGCCGCCGCCAGCTCCGCTTCCCGGCCGCAGCGCCATCTTGCTCCGGGCCCGCCGCCGCCACCTTCCCAGCAGCTGTCAGCTCCCGACAGCCACTTCCGGGGCGAACGACGAGCCCCACCTTGCCGCGGCCAGGGGCGACGGGGCGGGGCCGCGGGCTCACGTGACCCTCAGCGCCCGGGGGAGGGGCCGCGCCACCTCGTCACGTGACCCGGCCGCTGAAGAGGGGACTCCGGGTGTAATTCTGGGTCGGGGAGATGGGCGGGGCAGTCTGGGCCCGGTTCCAGGGGAGCTGATTCATTCTTTGGGAAGGCTTTGTGGAAGGCACAGCTGGCCGAGCGGCAGGGAGTCGTCGTCGTTCCTGCGTTTGAAAAACCATCATCTTGGTTAATGGAAAGAATAGAGCGAGTCCAGTTTGAAAACCTGGATGGTGGGTACAACGGGTGTTCTTTCATGACTACGTTTTACACAAAGGATAGATGGAGCCTGAATGCCCCTTTGACAGCATCACAACGTCCATTAGTGATGAGCTCTACTTTTCCCCTGGAACTTGGAAGATGTTTTTTTGGCACCTGTCTTAAAAACTGAAGCTGTTTAGTCACCTGGTAATCCGCGTTTTTCTTTTACGTACCATCAGGGCCACAACGGTGGTGCATGGGAAGGTTTATCGCACCTAACCTATCTGGGCATATTTTTACTGTGATTTTTTTTCCTAGTCAAACTACTGTAAAAGTTGAATGTAAACTTTTTGAAGTCTTGAGGTAGTGTTTGCTTATTAGCAAGTAACTGGTTTGTTGGGTTGAAGGAATCACAAGTTGGAATCAAGATTAAGGGGGTGGGAGGGGGAATATCGACAACCTCAGATATGCAAATAATTGACAGAAAGTGAGGAAAAACTAAAGAGCCTCCTGATGAGGGTGAAAGAGGAGTGAAAAAGCTGGCTTGAAACTCAACATGAAAACAACTAAGTTCAGGACATCCAGCCCCATCACTTCATGGCAAATAGAAGGGGAAAGTGCCACATTTTATTTTCTTGGACTCCAAAATTACCGCAGACAGTGCAGAAGGTGGTGGCAGCCGTGAAATTAAAGGACGCTTGCTCCTTGAAAGGAAATCTATGACAAACCTAGGCAGTGTATTATAAAGCAGAGACTTCATTCACTTTGCTGACAAAGGTTCGTGTGGTCAAAGCTATGGTTTTTCCAATAGTCATGTACAGGTGTGAGAGTTGGACCGTAAAGGCTGAGCACTGAAGAAGTAATTTGTTGGAATTGTGGTGCTGGAGAAGACTCTTTAGAGTCCCTTGGGCTGTAAGGAGATCAAACTAGTCAATCCCCAAGAAAATCAATCCTGAATATTCATTGGAAAGACTGATGCTGAAGCTCCAATACTTTGGCTCCCTGATGTGAAGAGCTGAGTCACTGCAAAAGGCTCTGGTGCTGGGGAAGAGTAAAGGAAAAGGGAGATGGCGGCAGCCAAGGATGAGATCATTAGACAGCATCACCCACTCAATGGACATGAATCTGAGCAAACTCTGGGAGACACTGGAGGACAGGGAACCCTGGTATGCTGCAGTCCTTGGGAATGCACAGAGTCAGAGGCACTTAGCCACTGAATAAGTAACATTATAGATAGCTTTATCTTTTACTCTTGTCTCAGGGCTTTTACAGGGAAACAGTTTGTAATAATAGTTATCATTTATTGGGCACAAACCACTGGTTAGAAACATTACTGTATTGTTTCAAATCCTCAGTGTCCCTAAGAGTTACTATTGGCATTTCACAGATAAGAAAAGCAAGGTTAAAAGAAGTTGTAATTCAGACCACACAGCTGCAAAACACCAGGACCAGGATCCAAGTAAAGTGTTTAACCTCAAAGTCCTTGATCATTTCAACTACAGTGTGCTATTTGTTTCTTCCCCCATGTCCACAAATTTCATTCCTCCCCTTTTTTAGATGGAACTGTCTAGCAGATGGTCCATTTGATATAAACTGATACATACAACCAAACTCCATATAAATCCATTGACAAGTTAATGTAGGATTATGTAGCCACTTTAAAAGATGGGTGATTACACAGGAGAAACTACTTAAAGTCAAATGAAGGGAGTATTTCAAGGATCATACAAGATATAATTTCTGTTTCTGCTGGGAACGCTTTGTTCTCTTTTGCATGTTGGGCGCTACAAGACTCTGGCTGTCAACCTCTCCTGTCATTTCCAGTTCAGGTTAGGTGCTCTCATGTGATGCTTCAGCACTGTAGCCTTATATCTCACATGGCATTTACCACAGTTTGTTCCTTTACTTTATCCCCACCACTACGCTGTTAGGGCAGGGACTGTGTTATGAAGCTTTGTATTCCTAACCAAACACATGTTTATTTAAAGAATATTTTTTTTGTGACGTGATGACATGTCAGGCGCAGTGCTAAGTGTTTCTAATCTTGAGACATAGTTGGTATTACCCTCGATTTCAATAATAAAAAAAAAGATTGGCAAATAGGTGGCACCAGTACATCCACCTCAGAATATATTGTGAGTCAAGGATCTGTTTGCAAGAACAAAAACATCACAGGCTTGTTGAAGTATTTCTTGACCTCGCAGCAATAGGGCTCCACTTACATAAATTCTGAAGATGAACAATTTTTGTCCCATCTGAAATATTTTAAGTTGGAGTCTACCCATCCTGACTCTAGAATAAAAGACTGATTAAGGAAATAAATGTTTAATTCAAATGTTGTTGAGGAAAGTTTATTATAGTATTGATGACAATAACCAACATTCTTGTCAGGTGCCTTTCCAAGTACCTTATATGTATGAAGTCAATTTTTTATTCCACCGTACAAAACTCAGTTCAGTCACTCAGTCGTGTCTAACTCTTTGCAACCCCATGGACTGCAGCACACCAGGCCTCCCTGTCCATTGCCAACTCCCAGAGTTGACTCAAACTTGTGTTCATTGAGTCAGTGATGCCATCTAACCATCTCATCCTCTGTCGACCCCTTCTCCTCCTGCCTTCAATCTTTCCCGGCATCACGGTCTTTTCAAATGAGTCAGTTCTTCACAGCAGGTGGCCAAAGTATTGAAGTTTCAGCTTCAGCATCAGTCCTTCCAATGAACACTCAGGACTTATTTCCTTTAGGATGGATGGGTTGGATCTCCTTGCAGTCCAAGGGACTCTCAAGAGTCATCTCCAACACCACAGTTCAAAAGCATCAATTCTTCAGCACTCAGCTTTCTTTATAGTCCAACTCTCACATCATACATGACTACTGGAAAAACCATTGCTTTGACTAGCTGGACCTTTGTTAGCTAGGTAATGTCTCTTCTCTTTAATATGCTGTCTAGCTTGGTTATAACTTTCCTTCCAAGGAGTAAGTGTCTTTTAATTTCATGGCTGCAGTCACTATCTGCAGTGATTCTAAAGCCCCCTCAAAATAGTCTGTCACTGTTTCCTCATATACTTGCCATGAAGTGATGGGACCAGATGCCATGACCTTAGTTTTCTGANGTCCTGTGGCCACTGCTGAGTTTTCCAAATTTGCTGGCATATTGAGTGCAGCACTTTCACAGCATCATCTTTTAGGATTTGAAATAGCTCAACTGGAATTCCATTACCTTCACTAGCTTTGTTCATAGTGATGCTTCCTAAGGCCCAATTGTACCAAACCAGCAATTGAGAAAAATCTGCATAAGTCAATAGTCTGTAGCACTTTATAATCATAATCCTTTACCCTTGGCAGAGACTTGCATACTAACTGGAATGAAGGGCCATAAAGCCTCAGGAAAGATAAGCTGTAGGAGAATTCTACCAGTGGTGTTATCAAGCAACAGGGACATTCTACCTTACCAGGATAAAATGTTTATCAGTTTTCTAGCAAAGTCATCTTGAATGGAAAGAGACAGGGAAGAACATGGTTAAATGACAGAAAACGAAGTAACAAAAGGAGAAGCTGACCATATTCTGGTAGCTACAACGTTGTGACAGGTAAGGTCTGAGCTATGTTACTGATGAAGTTAAAAGATATTTAACAGACCAAAGAATTTAAAAGCCTAGGGAACTTGAATAACCAGCCATATAAAAGGAATCTCGTGTGGAGAAAAGGGAATGCTCTTGCACTGTTGGTGGGAATATAAATTGATACAGCCACTATGGAAGACAGTATGGAGATTCCTTAAAAAAAAAAAAAACAAAAAAAAAAACTAGGAATAAAACCACCATATGACCCAGCAATCCCACTCCTAGGCATATACCCTGAGAAAACCAAAATTGAAAAAGACATGTATCCTACTGTTCACTGCACTATTTACAATAGCTAGAACAAGGAAGCAACCTAGATGTCCATCGACAGATGAACAGATAAAGTTGTGGTACATATACATAATGGAATATTCAGTTCAGTCACTCAGTTGTGTCCAACTCTGCAACCCCATGGACTGCAGCACACCAGGCCTCCCTGTCCATCATCAACTCCCAGAGTTTACTCAAACTCATGTCCATTGAGTTGGTGATGCCATCCAACCATCTCATCTTCTGTCATTCCCTTCTCCTCCTGCCTTCAATCTTTCCTAGCATCAGGGTCTTTTCAAATGAGTCAGTTCTTCACAATAGGTGGCCAAAGTATTGAAGTTTCAGCTTCAACATCAGTCCTTCCAATGAATATTCAGGACTGATTTCCTTTAGGATGGATGGGTTGGATCTTGTTGCAGTCCAAGGGACCCTCAAGAGTCTTCTCCAACAGCACAGTTCAAAAGCATCAATTCTTCTGCGCTCAGCTTTCTTTATAGTCCAACTCTCACATCCATACATGACCACTGGAAAAACCATAGCTTTGACTAGACGGACCTTTGTTGGCAAAGTAATGTCTCTGCTTTTTAATATGCTGTCTAGGTTGGTCATAACTTTCCTTCCAAGGAGTAAGTTTCTTTTAATTTCATGGCTGCAATCACCATCTGCAGTGATTTTGGGGCCCAGAAAAATAAAGTCTGACACTGTTTCCAGTGTTTCCTCATCTATTTGCCATGAGGTGATGGGACCAGTTGCCATGATCTTAGTTTCCTGAATGTTGAGCTTTAAGCCAACTTTTTCACTCTCCTCTTTCACTTTCATCAAGAGGCTCTTTAGTTCTTCACTTTCTGCCATAAAGGTGGTGTCACCTGCGTTATCTGAGGTTATTGATGTTTCTCCCGGCAATCTTGATTCCAGCTCTGCTTCATCCAGTCCAGCATTTCTCATGATGTACTCTGCATAAGTTAAATAAGTAGGGTGACAATATACAGTCTTGACATACTCCTTTCCCTATTTGGAACTAGTCTTTTGTTCCATGTCCAGTTCTGAGTAATGGAATATTACTCAGCCATAAAAAGGAACACATTAGTTAGCTCTAATGAGATGGATGAACCTAGAGCCCATCATACAGAGTAAAGTAAGTCAGAAAGAGAAAGATAAATATATATCAACACATATACAGAATCTAGAAAAATGGTACTGAAGAATTTATTTGTAGGGCAGCAATGGAGAAACAGACGTAAGAGAATAGACTCACAGACATGGGGAGAGGGGAGGAGCGGGTGAGATGTAGAGAGAGAGAATCATGGAAATTTATATTACCATATGTAAGATAGACAGCCAGTGGGAATTTGCTGTATGGGAGGAAAAAAGGAATCTTGCTGTTATGGCTCCTACTACAAAAAGTCATCAATAAATTTAGAAACAGCGAAATAGAGAGATGAGTAGGTTTATTCTTGGTAGACAGCTTGTGTTGCCTCTTGTCCATTTCCCTCCCACCACACCCCAAAAAGAGTGGGTAGGAAGGGGAATTCAATCTCAAGACTTTACTTTGCAATGTGGTTCCAAATGCCTCTCCACAGCATATGCAACACCTTCCTTCATACTTGAAGGGAAAAATCCAGCTCACCACATTTGGGTGTTGTTACTTTTAGTATAAGCTTTGGTTCTTCTATAAGAAGTATCATTCAGGATTCAAACCACACAGATGTCAATGAATGTTTTTTCCATTGTATAATCATTTAAAAATCACCTATGAATTAAAACTTGACATGATACATTGAGAATTTAGGATCATTTTTCATTAGTCCCACGTTCTTGTGGTTGACTTCAAATGTTTGGTACGGGTGATTATAAGACGATATATTCCATGAAAAAAATTCATGCTGAAATTATAAAATCACATTTGTGATATAGTTCTTTTAAAAGTCTGTTTTTAACTTTTGTCCTCAGGAGCTTCTTTCTTCTTGCTGTTCTGACCAGTGACCTTTTTCCTGTGACAATGAAAGGAAAGCTGCATTAGAAATTTTAGATATATGTACTTTCCAAAGCTCTACCAGTTTAACAAATAAACATTTACTGAAACCTTCACGATTAAGTATGTGAGACATTAGGAACACAAAATTGTCTCTCTGCCCTTTAGAAAAACACATCCGCCTAAGTGAGACAGAAATACCACAATAAACTACATTACAACATGGCATAAAAGACAGATTCTGACCCAATAAAGAGAGTTCACATCCATTAAGTGCTAGACATTGTTACAAGTGTTTTGTATGTATCAACTCAGATCTTCTAACTTAAGAAGATTCTATTAGTATCCTCCTTATACAGATGTGGAAAATGAGGTAGAGTGGTTGAGTGACTTGCAGATCATCACACACTGATAATATTAGGATTGAACTCCGATATTCTGATTTTAGAGCTTGGCGAATGGTGAATGCCATCAACTAACTCTTAACACAAGAAAAAACTTTTGAGAAAACAAAAACAAACAAAAAAACTTTTGAGAAACAACATTTGCATACTACAGAAGAGTAATGCAAATCAACTCACTTAATCCTTCACCAACAGTGAGTGGCAGAGTTATTATTTATATACCTATTTCCATTATATATAGGAGGAAAGAGGCTTAAAGATGTGATTTGTTCAAAACCACACAGGAAGAGGTGATATTAGAGCCAGTTCTTCTTGCTCCAAATCCAGGCTCCTCCACCCTCTACTACACCAGGGTGAGTTTGTAGTGCCTGAAGTGAGGTCCACTAGGCAACAGGATTTAGGTTTATTACTCAGTTGGGAAGCAGGGTCTGATGATATGGACTTAAAAGAGTAATCAGCATAGAGCTGAGGCCACGGGTGTGGGTAGGATCATTATAGCAACATCTGCAGTGGAAAGGTAAGCTGGTGTCAGATCAGCTCTTGTGTGTATGCTATGTTAAGAAGTATGGTTTTTAAATGTGAAGAAAATAAGACAACCAAAGCATCTTAAGCAGGGGCTAGGGACAGATTTATATCAAGTGTCCTCAAAGTCTTAGTGCAGCCATAAGTTTTAATAACTTTGAGGCATTAAAAAAAAATCAACAATTAAAATATAATTTAAAATATCAATATTTCTTATTACAGTTCAACAGAGCCACGATCTTATGTTCGAGTTGATTTTCTGTCTTTGTAAAAACTTTCCTTAGCTGCTTGCACTTTCAATCCTAGCTTTACCATCACCCAAGAATGAGGTTCTGATGTACATGCAACAATTCAGAAGCAGCTCATTGCACGAAAAAGTCTAGTGAGACAGATAAGGTGACACAGCAGGGCAACCTCTTGTAGCAATGCACTGGTCTACTAATCCTCTACCAATCCACCCAGGAACTGTTGCCACAAAGAAGAAAAATTAAAAATGCATTAATAAGGCACAAAACTGATTAGGTACAAATTAATCTTTCCAGTGATGTGTTTTTGTAAGGTTGTAACATTTATTCCTCCCAAGTTACTAAAGCTTAAAACCACTAAACCCTTGGGACACTCTTTACATGCCATATACTGGGGTTGAACATGACTTCCCACAATTAATGCAAAATGTCAGGCTGACTCTTTCACTCAGAAGGAAAGTGCAGGCCAGTCTTCTCACCTGGGTTCACCTTGTTCCTTCTACATGCCTAAATTTTACCTATCCCTGAAGATAATTCTACTTCTGTAAAACTTTTTGTAAATGACCAATTCATAATGATTTTTCCCTTCTCTAGCTTCTATTTTACTTAACAATATTTTCTAACTATTTTTTTCATGTATACTAATCTCCTTTCCCTAACTTCAGGAAAGTGAAAGTGAAGTCGCTCAGTCGTGTCCGACTCTTTGCAACCCCATGGACTGTAGCCCGCCAGGCTCCTCTGTCCATGGGATTCTCCAGGCAAGAATACTGGAGTGGGTTGCCATTTCCTTCTCCAGGGGATCTTCCCGACCCAGGGATCGGACCCAGGTCTCCTGCATTGCAGACAGACGCTTTATCCTCTGAGCCATCAACTTCAGGAAAGGGGTCTCATTTTACATCCTTTGTACACCTTACTACATATTATGTATCCAGTACATATATAATACAGATATATGCAGGAAGGCTAAAGATGGACAGTAAGTACTTGGTAAATTCCCACATTTTATATATGTTATATCTTAACTGGTACTGACAGAATTTAAAGTGTCATTTTTCCTTAAACAGTGGAAAGAATAGTACTATGGAGAATATTTCAGTCTACCCATATGGGATCATGGTTTCCCAGTAGTGATAGGCAAAAAGGGTAGTCCTGTGTACATTGTAAAAATATATATATATAAATAAATCTGCATTAATTTAATATAAATATGTAAATAAGTTTATAATTTACATATAAATAAATTTATAATTTACCCAAATCATACTTTTCAGAGATGTTTCAACACGCTTCAGTGTAAATCCTACTGAAATCCTGCCCAGAATACAAAGCTTCAAGAAAGACTCCACTGATGTGAGCTCAGTCCTAACAAGTGGTCTCAGTAGTGTGTCCAGATGCAGGCTGTGTGGAGACAGTGCATGCATGTGTCTTAAGTCGCTCAGCCATGTCCGACTCTGTGACCCCATGGACTGTAGCCCGCCAGGCTCCTCTGTCCCTGGGGTTCTCCAGGCAGGAACACTGGAGGGGGTCACCATTGCCTTCTCTATAGCAGACTGTAGACCCATCAAATTTTATTTCTAAAAATCTATCCTAAGGAAAAATAATGCCCAAGTTATATGAATATGACAGAGTCAAACTAATTTTTACCATATACTTACCGTTTATCCTTAGCTTTTTCTAAAAAATATTTTGGAGTTGTACTAATGCTCTCCCTTTCCAAGGGCTTCTTAATCATCTTTTTCTTTTGTTTACTGGAAGTTACAAAGAGAAGAAAGAACTGAATTAAGTGCAACTTACTTTAGAGAGCTAAGAATAAAACTAGTTTTGGTTTTTGGTCACAAAATTTGTTCATCTATTTACTGGTTTATAGTGACAACACTGTATCCACTTTAATATACTAGTTTACCTAATAGTATCCAGAGCAGTAATCCAGAGAGATGATAAATTCAACCAATTTTTAAAAAGGCATTGATTATGATTAAAATATGTGTCACTCTCATACTGTCTCTGCCAATAAGCACTAGAGTCTGATTCTGGCCAATTAACTATTTTTTTACTAGCTTTACGAATTAATATCTAAGCATATTTCACTCACATTTAATAATATTTTAAAAATCTGAGTACTTAAAATTTCAAGGATGAAAAACTGACAGGGAAAGAACACACCGTATTCACAAATATTTAAGAGGAAAGTTTTTACTTTAAAATGTTCTAAAATAGTAGCGTTGATAGAACTATAATGTACGAGTGTGAAAGTAAGAATGTACATGCAAACAGAGAAAAACTTCCAAGTAAATCTAAGACTGTACCTTAGTAGTTTCTGGAAACCTTTTATGTATTCTGGGACAGGGCATCCAGCTTGCTGAATAACACTGGCAACACTGAAAAAGGTACCGGTAAACATAAATTTGTATCTTATCAAACTGTTGTTTATGTACTGAAACCCTCTGCACAATAGAAGAGGAACTAAGAGTACACAAACAGGAAAGTAATCCAGTGAAGTGTTCTGGTAAATTATTACCAATAGCAATCATATCAGACTACTGAGAGAACAGTCTGCTGGACTGAAACCAACATACTGATGAATAATTTTAATAGCAGCTGCTTCTACTCAACATGCCCTAGCCAGCACAGCCCAGTCTTTATAGTCACTTATTCAATCCTTACAAGCTTTTGTAGTAAATATCATCATTATGCCCATTTCCCAGATGGAAAAGAAAACTGAAGTGCACACAGTGACATGGGGGGTCATCAGAGTCACATGCTTAGGGTTGCTGAGGAAACTCAGGTGAATCAAAGCTGCTGGAATAGTCCCCTATGCGTCACATGAAAGTCTGCTCACGACAAAACCAAGGTTGACAGAGCCAAGGCTCAGAAGGCACAAATCAAAATCTGTCACAACCGAGAAACAGGTCAATGTACAAACCACCTCCATCCACAGCTTGATTTCATCTGTTAGAAATATGAACTGCTGTCAGTTATCATCAGCCTAACATTTCTGTAGGCAGCCCAAGTGGAGGAAATATAACTCAGCTTTTACATTAACATCTATGATGATGGGCTATATTAAGATGAGATTCTAAAAATGTATCTATCACAGGTTACCCAGTTTCAAGGGGCTACAACTGAATAATATTGGACTGTGTTTCTAAAACAGTTTTTCCTCTACGACAGGTGACCTGGGACTAAAGATAAAACTCCATCTGCTCCTAAGAGTAATGGAAGAATACACCATGCTAACACATCATTTTGACTAGGCTGTAATGTAAGAGATTCATGGATTAACTTTAACTATTCACTAATCCAAAAACCTTAATATTACCTTGTGATTAATATCAAGTGATGTTATTGGGACAATTCTGTGAGTCTGAAACTTAAACGAATATTCTCTTGTGAATACTTCCAAAATCTAACAATGGAAAGACAAAAACGAAGCCTTTTGATCATTTTTCTTTCATGGCTAACATTTGGTTGACTAATATCATAACAGAATTTGGGACACAGCCATTTTGTAATTATCTATTAATTGTGTGTAAGAATAATGAACCAATTTTGCCAGCTTAATGCTAAGCTATTTCTCCTAATTTACCTTCTTAATAATGGTTTATCATCTTCAGTGAAAAATGTAACAGCTTTTCCTTTACGCCCAGCTCTCCCAGTTCGACCTAAGAGAAATCAGACCATTAAAAAACAAACAAAAAAACTCATTTTTGAGGGGAATGGGACTTTCAAGATTCAAATATACAAGTCACTGGACTTTTATAGTACTGAAAATGAACATGCTGAAGACGTGCTAAGACAAGATGAGTGGGGGGTGGGGGTGGGAACACATGACTCACCTATCCTGTGAATATATTCCACTGAGCTGGTTGGAAAGTCATAGTTGATAACCAAGTTCACACCTTTAAAATCAATCCCTCTGGCCAGCAAGGCTGTACAAATAAGAACCCAGATTTTTCCTGCTCTGAAGCTGTGGACTGTGTTATCTCTCTGGTTAACAGAACATACAACAAATGTTTTAGTACCAGTCTGGGAATGAAAAACAAGTGCTTCATAAATGCCAGTGCTTAGTTGTTCTTTGTTGCTTTGAAAGTTTACATTTGACTTTACCTGTTGCTGTGTTCTGTCTGCATGAATAACATCCACATTAATACCTTCATATATGAGCTCATGAAAAAGTTCTTTAGCCCTTTCAATGGACTGAACAAAAACAAGAACAGGTGGATTGAAACCCTAAAAGAAAGCACACATAACCCATAACTAAGAGTATAACTGCATCATTTCATAAGGTTTTAATTCATTTCAATTTAGAAATTGCTAAATTTCTCAGACCTGTGGTCTAAGTCTGCCTCCATCTTCCTCAGCATCCATTCTCTACAATGGCCTTTTCCTACTCAATGTGAGCAGTACTCTCCATTCTGTTCATTCCCAAAATCTTGTCTAATTAATCCCCCTTCACCTTTCTACAGCAATGGATGTCCACTCCTTGAAATAATCATGTTTGCTTCTGTGCCTCAGAACATTTTTGTTCCTTCTTAAAATATAAGTAATTGTCACTTTAATCCATTATTTATCCTGACTGTGGGTATTTCCCAAAGCCTAGTCCCTGGTTCTCAGTTCTCTCAAAATAATCTTTATCTTATCAAGTTAGACAAAATTTAAGTTATAACTACCAGCTCTAAGCAAATGATTTTTACATTTTGTATCATCAAACCCTGTTTCTCTCTCAAACCAGCTTTCTATATTTTCAACTGTCAGCATTAGGACTTGACCTTGTTATTAAGGTCCACACATCCTTTCAGAATCTAATGAAAGATATGAAGCTGTCTAATAGGCAACCAGACAGTCACACAATTTCAGAAGGTTCACAAAACTCAAGTTCATACATGGCTAAAAATCCCTGGAGTATAATCCTACGTAAGTTATCTGTGAAAACCTTCCATTTCCTATTGCCAAGTGATATCATTATTAGCAAAACTAACAAATATAGCACAATGTGCCAAGCACTAGTCTAAGTACTATATTTGTATTAATTCAGTAATAAAACAAAAAACCCCACTCTAGTATCCTACTCATGTAAGGTCCCAGTTCTACATGAAAGCAGCAGAGTGGTGGGGGGATATTTCAATATAAAGGCATACTCTTATTTTATTGCACTTTGCAGATAATGGGTTTTTCATAAATCAAAGGTGTGTGGCTAACCCTACATTCAAGCAAGTCTATTGACACCATTTTTTTTCCCAATACCATTTGCCTACTTCTTGTCTCTGTAGCACATTTTGGTAATTCTTGCAATATTTCCAACTTTTTCATAATTATTATATTTGCCCTGGTGAGCTGTGATCAGTCCTCTTTGATGTGACTAACATGACACACTGAAGGTGATGGTTAGCAGGTTTAGCAATGAAGTATTTTTAATTAAGGTGTGTACATTGTTTATTTTTTCCAGACAATGCCATTGCACACTTGACTACAGCACAGTGTAAATGCAACTTTCCTATGCACTGGGAAGTCCCCAAAATTCCTGTGACTCACTTAATTATGATATTGGCTTTACTGTGGTGGTCAGGAACTGAACGCCCAGTATCTCTAAGGTCTGCCAGTTCACAGATGTGGAAAAAGGAAGCTTTCGGGACATCAGTTAGGTCTTTTCCTAGCATACCCTGAGCTGGGAACAGAAAATTTAACTTTATTCTAAGAGGTGAGACTCTCCCACTTGGGAGGAGTTGCTCCAATGTGCTTCTTACTGATTTGCCACTGGATTATTAAACACGATGCAGGAAAATGTGCTCAGCCTCCCCTTAGTAATACAAGGCTTGGTGAACTTCATCAAAATTTGAAAATGCAGCCCAAATATACCTTTTTAACAAGTTCTCTCATGGCCAGTAGTTTTCCAGTCTCTGAACCAACAAAGAGAAGCTCTTGTTCTACCGTCTCTACTGCAGAATTCCTGAGGAAGAAAACATACATTGCAGTTTGTGAGAGCCAATCTTTGTTTTCCCCCATAAATTTTAAATAAATGAAAAAATTTACACGTAACTCCAACAGAATGACTTTTTCCATTGTCAATATAAGTACCTAACTATTTATAAAGACAAAGTTTTTTGAAATTTACTTTTATCTAGAGAATAATTGCTTTACAATGTTGTGTTGGTTTCTGCCATTTAACGTGAATCAGTCAAGTATACATATGTCCCCTCCCTCCCTATCCTATCTCTCTTGGTTGTCACAGTGCTCCCTGTGTTATAACAAAGTTTTTTAATTTTAGCTCAGTCAGTTCAGTTCAGTCGCTCATTTGTGTCCGACTCTTTGCGACCCTGTGAATCGCAGCACGCCAGGCCTCCCTGTCCATAACCAACTCCCGGAGTTTAATCAAACTTATGCCCATTGAGTCAGCGATGCCATCCAGCCATCTCATCCTCTGCTGTCCCCTTCTCCTCCTGCCCCCAATCCCTCCCAGCATCAGGGTCTTTTCCAATGAGTCAACTCTTCATATGAGGTGGCCAAAGTATTGGAGTTTCAGCTTCAGCATCAGTCTTTCCAATGAACACCCAGGACTGATCTCCTTCAGGATAGATTGGTTGGATCTCTGCAGTCCAAGGGACTCTCAAGAGTCTTCTCCAACACCATAGTTTAAAGGCATCAATTTTTCGGCACTCAGCTTTCCTCACAGTCCAACTCTCACATCCATACATGACCACTGGAAAAACCATAACCTTGACCAGACAGACCTTTGTTGGCAAAGTAATGTCTCTGCTTTTTAATATGCTATCTAGGTTGGTCGTAACTTTCCTTCCAAGGAGTAAGCATCTTTTAATTTCATGGCTGCAATCACCATCTGCAGTGATTCTGGAGCCCAAAAAAATAAAGGCTGACACTGTTTCCACTGTCTCCCCATCTATTTTCCATGAAGTGATGGGAGCAGATGCCATGATCTTAGTTTTCTGAATGTTGAGCTTTAAGTCAAAGTCTCTGGTGATTCAGTTTCATATACACACACTTTTTCAAATTCTTTTCCATTATAGGTAATTATATGTGGTTTATGTATTTTCCCTTTAGAAGTTTGCATCTGCTAATCCCAAACTCCTACTTTATCCCTCCCCCCTTATTTCCTCTTTGGTATTCGTAACTTTGTTTTCTATGTCCATAAATCTGTTTCTGTTTTGTAAATAAGTTCATTTGTATCATTTTTAGATTCTACACATAAGCGATACCATATTTATTACTCTGACTTACTTCACTTAGTATAATCTCTAGGTCCATCCATGTTGCTGCAAATGGCATTATTTCATTCTTTTTTATGGCTGAGTAGCATTCCATTGTGTGTGTGTGTGTGTGTGTGTGTGTGTGTGTATACACACACACATCACATCTCTATCCGTTTCTCTGTCAGTGGACATTTATGCTATTTCCACATCTTGGCTTTTATAAATAGTGCTGCTATGAACACTGGGGTGCATGTATCTTTTCAAATTAGATTCCTCTGGATATACGCCCAGGAGTAAGACTGATGTATCATATGGCAACTCTAATTTTAGTTTTTAAGGAACTCCACACTGTTCTCAGTAGTGGCTGCACCAATTTGCATTCCCACCAACAGTGCAGGAGGGCTCCCTTTTCTCCACACCCTCTCCAGCACTTATTCTTTGTAGCCTTTTTGATGATGGCCATTCTGACTGGTGTGAGTTGGTACCTCATTGTAGCTTTCATTTGCATTTCTCTTATAATTAGTAATGTTGAGCATCTTCTCATGTGCCTACTGGACATCTGGATGCCTTCTTCAGAGAAATGTCTATTTAAGTTTTTAAATGTTCTGTTCCAATTATTAAAATGTTATTTCAACTTAAAAAATAAAGACATAAACAATAAGCTGCCCACAATTCTACCATTTTACAATAAACATTGATATTTTGTTGTGTTCCAGTCATATATTTTCATGTTTCCAATTCCTTACAACATCTTTCTAAAAGTAAAATTACTGGGTAAAATGAGAACATTTTAAAGGTTGCTTCATATGGCTAAATTTTTTTTTCATAATGATAGCAAAGGCTTACTTATAGACAGATAGTTGGGAGTGAGGTATCTAAAGGTTTTATTAACACTCTATAAGCCACTGTAATATACTACACTATGTATAAATACTTTTTCCATTCTGTTATCTTCCTTCAAAATTATATTTATGGTGAATCTGTTCTATTTTTCTTTTTATACACAGGAGTTTTAAGTCGGAAGTAGATAGGATATTCTTTATTATTTCATTTGGCTTTTTACTTAACATGGTATTACAAGCACTTCTTCTACAGCTATGATCTTCACTTTTACTATTTCCATTCTCCTGGCAACAATACTGGGTTGCCATTCCCTTCTCCAGGGAATCTTCCCAACCCAGTAACTGAACACAGGTCTCCTGCATTGCAGGCAGATGCCTTACTGCTGAGGCACCAGGGAAGCTCCATTCCATTTCATGGGTTGCACTACAGTATATCAAGGGGCAGTATTATAATTTCATAAAACTTTTTTTCTATCATTTAGCATAAATGCGCCCCAAAATATTTTTAAAAAGGAGTTATAAATCAAGTGGCTCAGTAACATCAGCTTCCTACTCTCAGCCCAACTGAGTTAAGCCATCAAAGAGATTAAATCCTCTGGGTGGCCACAGAACTCATGGTAATACTTTATGGAAGGGAAAAATCAATTAAATGCATGATGATAGTAATATCTACATGATGACATGAGAATGTCCCTTTAGATTATTCTAACATAGAATATCCTTAATCAAACTTGACTTTAAAGAATATGTTTCTTTCAGTAAAACTCTTTATTAATCTTAGGCCACACAACCCGTCTCCTTTAGTCTAAAATAATGACTTTTTTTTTAATCAGTGGGATAATGGAAGAAGAATTACCTTGCTCCAATGGATACAGTAATGATGTTGTCCAAGTTCAGTTTGCACCACTGCTCAACATCATAGGCAAAAGTTGCACTGAACATAGCTCTCTTCACCTTGTGGGAGGTACACGCCAAGAAAATGGAAGCCAGCTGGTCTCTGAACCCAGTTTTGCCATCTTCAAACAGTTTATCTGATTCATCTACTACCAGCCATTCAACACTAAGAAACAACAACAAAAATTTGTGGTTTATTGAACTGAAAGATCCAGAACACGTCACTAAACTGCGGGGACACATGAAGAAGTCAAACCACAATGATGCTTCTCAGATCCACATACTGTACCAGGAAAAGGTACAAGAAAAATAAGCAATAAAAAGGTAAAAGAAGATCAACATAAATTAATGTACCTATTCCATTACCCCAAAGTATGTGAAGTTCCACTGACAATGACATAAGTTCCACTGGCATTGGTGATGGAGTTCCATCACCACTGCTGAAAGATGTGAAAATTTCTAGGGGAACTCTATACTAATTGCTTATCAGAATCTGTTAACTTTATTTCAGACCAGATAGTTACTTTTTTCTCAGCACCAACACTGACTGAAAGCTGGCAGATAGCAAGCTCCAAAGGGCAATAATACAAGTATTATATTATAGTTGAAGACAAAATATAATCAACTTAATGAAAAACACACATAAAAGACATTATTAAAGTAACGTACCTTGTTAAGTCTATTCCTGGAGGATCTTGTTTTAATAAATAGATTAATCGATTTGGAGTAGTCACAAGAATATCTGTAAGGAAAAACAAATGGTACAAATTGCAAAACAACATTCATCTGTCTTGAACTAGAGGATTAAGCCCCCTGCATTTCAGTTAATAACCTCAAGTGGGGCAAGTGGTGATATGCACTATACCAATAACACAACAAACTAATGTACGTATTTTTTTAATCCATCATAGCACAAACTACTAAGTCCTTACTCTCCTTTTATTTGACCTGTCTTCTTGGTCTCTAAGAGGCAGGAATACAATAATCCAACAGTCTGCTTTTCAAACATTCATTTGTTTTTCAGGAAAATACTTTCCTTAAATGGAACTTTATTCAGAAGCTCAAGATAAAAGCCAAGTAAAAGTTTCCCTGGTGGATGTTAAGAGCAGTGATGTAAGCCAGTCTGATCTGCAAAATATTCCCATGGCAGGTTAACAATCAATAGAATAAAGCAGGGATTCTCAGCCTCAGTACTACATTTTGGTTCAGACAACTCCTTGCTGTAGGAGGCTGTTCTGTGCATCACAGCATGTGTAATAGTGTCTGTGGCTTCTATCCCTCTAATAGTAGCACCTTTCCCCAGCTGTGACAAAATATCTCCATATACTGCCAAATATCCCTGGGGTGGAGGGTGAGCTGGAGAACCCCTGGTATATATTTATGTAACTACTAAGTGAGAGGAGATCTCTTTCAGCTTTTCTAAAAATCAAACTAACTACACTTTAAGAATTTTTAGGTGGCAATTCGGATATTTGTAATTTCCAAATCTCTTACATTTCAAGCATGAACTGAACTGAATTTACAACTTCCATCCTTTAGCATGCATGCTCAGTTGTGTCAGGCTCAGTGACCCCAGGGACTGTAGCCTGCCAGGTCCCTTTGTCCATGGAATTTTCCAGACAAGAATACTAGAGTCAGTTGCCATTTCCTCCTCCAGGGGATCTTCCCCACCCAGGGATCAAACCCAAGTCTCTTGCACTGGCATGTGGATTCTTTACAACTGGTGCCACCTGGTAATCCCTTACCAAATTTCTTAGATGATTTAGGTCCAAATTTCTTGGCTGCAACTGCTGCTTTGTGGATCATGTGTATCCTGAATCCTGTTCCCTCGGACAGTTTTACTAACTCTCGGTGAATCTAAAACAGAAATGATAAAAATATCAGCTGCTGAAATACTTGGATAAGATGTATACTCACTTTTTTAGTGTTTATAAAATAAATCTAGTATCAATCCATGAATGAATACCTGAAATTAAGCTTATGATAATCTGTACATTAACCTGGAATCTTGGCATTTTGGAACTTCAATGCCAAATAAGATTCATGGTTTCTTCAGGTCTAGGAAACCAGTTGCAAGAGATAAAATCAAAACTCTTCAACTCTGTATTATTTTTAAGAATAAAGTACGGTTTCAAAACGGTTTCATACTTGGCATGTATTTACATTAAGCACACTGGGAGAGTCGAATGGATCAGAGTATAGCTTTACTTTCTCAAAAACTGAGATGAAGTTTTCTTTAAGGTGAGAAAAAAATGTTTTAAAGAGGAACTATGTATTACAGACCACTTCCCTGCTGGCTCAGACACCTAAGATGCCTACAATGCACACAACCTGGGTTTGATCCCTGGGTCAGGAAGATCCCCTGGAAAAGGGAATGGCAACCCACTCTAGGATTCTTGCCTGGAGAATCCATGGACAGAGGAGCCTGGTGGGCTACAGACCATGGACTTGCAGAGTAGGACTTGACTAAGTGACTAACAGACATATGTTACAGTAGCCTTCCAATGACAAGGATCTTAGAGCATATACCAAAGTATAAATGCTAAGATCATCATATTTTAGAAAACTGCAAGACTTTATGCAGTGAGATACCAAGAAGTGTGCTTTGTACACAATACTTGACCATGACAAAGACACGGGCCTTACTCTTCCGGACCTTTCTATTACCCTCAAAGAAGAAAGATGACCGGCAAACACATTCTCTTCAGAAATACAGGTTATACCTGGCTGGCAAGTTCTCGCGTTGGTGATACAACCAGGGCTCTGAAGCCTTTATTTGTGGGTTGTTTCAGGTGCATTAAAATAGGAATGCTAAAAGCCAAAGTCTTTCCAGATCCAGTAGGAGCAGAAGCCAGCAGTTCTCGACCCTAAAAACAGAGTACATTAAGTACAAGGAAGAGTGCGTACATTTTTCAGTGCTAGTCAAATAATGCTACCAGCCATAAAAATAAAATTATACATAGTAAGTCCAGACACTCACACTTCCATCATTCTTCTAACTTCTCTGATATTTGCTTTTCTAACATCACCCATCTCTGCTACCACCACCCCAATGGAGTTTCTGAGCATTATCACTAAAGTTAATTTGAACTGGGTAAAGAAAGTAAATAACTAAAATCCAAAGATAATTCACAACCGTATTCCCATTATTTCTATTTTCCTTTTCCCTAAACCTCTTTATCAAAACAAAATCAGAAAACCAACTTTTGGTCCTGATATCTGCATTGCTCCATCCTCATGGAAAATTTTAATAAATAACTAAAGGACTAAAAGTAAAATAAAAAGTGGTGATAACACCAGTGACAATCATTTATAGGTGACGATCTTCAAAAAGTCACTGCGCTTTTTTAAAGCTTTCAGCTAAGGTAACTTCACATACAACATCTTAATGAAAATTAAAAGCAAATTTGCTGTAACATCAGTCAAAAACATCCTTCAAATATATTCTTATTTCAGTTCCCAAAGAAAATGAAAAGGATTAATATGGATGAGATGGGAGGTAACTCATACCCTTTGGCTACTAGAACTGGGAGGCTGTATTGGTTATGTGGTAAGAAAAAGTCAGCTCTCACCACTACAAAAAGAAACCTCAGGAAAACTTAATTTCAAAAATCTAAGTTAACTCATACTTCTGTCAACAGTACATAAACAAATAATGGTATACTCATACAAAAAAATACTACTCAGCCTATCATATATCAGTAACAAATTGATATATGCAACATGGAAGAATCTCAAAAAAGGTACACAGAGTGAAAGAGAGAAACCAAAAATAAAAGAATACATAATGAATGATTCCACTTATATAATAATTCTATAATACATGGTGCTAAGAACCAGAACAGGGCTTCCCTGGTGGCTAGTGGTAAAGAATCCACCTGGAATGTAGGAGACGTGGGTTTGATCCCTAAGTCGAGAAGATCCCCTGGAGAAGGAAATGGCAACCCAATCCAGTATTCTTGTCTGAGAAATCCCACGGACAGAGGTGCCTGTGGGCTACAGTCCATGGGGCTGCAGAGAGCCGGACACGACCGAGAGATTAAACACCACAAAGCAGGAGAGTGCTCACCTCTGGGTGAGGGGGGGTGGGGACCGAAGGGAAAGGGTATGAAACTGCTGAAATTCACTAAACTGTGCACTTGACATCTATGTATTTTTTCGGTATTTAAATATAGTTCAATAATAAAAAGTACTGGGATATGGGAATTCCCTGGCAGTCCAGTGGTTAGGACTCTGTGCTTTCACTGCTGAGGGCCTGGGTTCAATCCCTGGTTGGGGAACTAAGATCCCACAAGCTGCAGGTTATATACAAGAATTCAGTACTTCTGAAATACTTCTTAGATATTATAAACCAAATCATTGATGAATAAACAGAACATATTCCCTATTCTCAGAAGATGAACACTTTTCGTTAAATGTAAAATGTACGTGTAGTTAGTGCAAATACACAGTAGTAAAAAGTGTAAGATAAATGTTTCAAGAAAAAGAAAACACATGGAGAATTAGGTGTTAGGGGCAAGAGTGTTTGTTGGTAAATGAAAAAGATCACATCAAGTAGTAGTGATCAAGACAAACTGTATGGAGGCACAGGCATTAGAGATGGAGTTTAGAGGATGGCAAAGATTTCAACAAGGGGAGATAAGGCAGACGGGAAGGTCTTAAAGACAGAGGAAAGAGAATGAACACACACACACACACACACACACACACACACACACACTTTGAGGCCTTCACACTCACATGCAGCATAACTGGAATGGCTTGCATTTGGATTGGTGTAGGGATCTGGAAGCCTGCATCTAGAATGTTCTGAAGCAGTCGAGAATTGATTTTATATTCCTGGTCAAGTTGCTGAAATGTAGCAATTGGGTCAGGAAGATCAGTTCCTTGGACATAAATTTTATGTTTATTCCGGAAGAAGTTGAGCTGAAAAGTAAAACAAAGGGATTTGGTAAAATACATTGTCAGAAGTTGTAAGGCAGTAATAAGTTTCTCAAATAAGCTTTAGTAGCATATGAAGCCGTCTAGTTAAATTCCAGGCCCTGAAAGAGACAGATACTAGGTACAATTTCTACCCTTTCATAGAAGGATGAGCTTCCTAACAATGAAACCTATCTATCCACACTTTCCACACTTAATGTGTCAATGCCATGAATAACACTTGGCACACAAGAGCCAATGCTTTTTAACGATCTACCCTAAACTCTACTTATTAAAACTGAATGTCACTGAAAGAGTCAAGTGATGTTGATTTTTTTATTTTTTTGGTTTTTCCCACTCTCTGATCCAGACAGCCAAATTCTGGATTCGGGATTACCAAAGGAGCTGAACAATATTCCACGTGCAACACGGCAGGAGTGCAGCAAACTCGACAATGGCATATTTGTTGTCTCTTCTGAATTCCACTCCTCCTAGTCCCAAATTACAAAACAGGTTTCTTAAGAATTCCAACTCTTGGGACTTCCCTGGTGGTCCAGTGGCTAAGACGCTGCACTCATAATGCAGGGGGCCCCGGTTTGAGCCCTGGTCAGGGAAATAGATCCCACATGCTGCAACTAAAAAATCCTGTATGCTGCAACGAAGACTGAAGATCCCACATGCTACAATTAAGACCTAGTGCAGCCAAATAAATANAACCTTCTATCTTAAAAAAATCATACTCACTTTGATGAATAGAAAAACCCAAGCACAGTGAAAAAGGCACAAGGCCAGAAAAACTATTAGGGCGAAAATATTTTTCTCACCTTTTCTTTTCTTAGCTGCTCTAACTTTCCTGAGGTTAGTTTATTTTCTCTTTTAACGTTTTTATCTTCAATCTTTGCTTCCACAGATGATATCCACTGTATAGTAGAAACTTCTTCTTGAGAAGTAATTTCTAAAATATATTTTTTAAAAAATTGAAAGATTTTAACTGCAACATTCTTAGGTGGCACAAACAGGCCACACCTTCACACTGAAAGAAAAAGTAACAGTTGATACAACTAGAAAGTTTTGGTAACTGGCCTAGCTGACTTTGAAGTTTACCTGGAAAAATAAATATGTAAGAATAGCTGAAAAATTCTAAGAATAGTAATTAGTAAAGACTACTTCTGGAATTTCTTTTAAATTTTTTTCAACTTCACTGAGGCACAACAGACACGATAAACTGCATATATTTTAAGCATGCAATTTGAGGAGTTTTGACCTATGTATATACCTGTTGGGACTTCCCTGGTGGCTCAGTGGTAAAGAATCCACCTGCAATGCAGTAGACATGGGTTTGATCCCTGACCTGCGAAGATCCCCTGGTGAAGGAAATGGCAACCCACTCCAGTATTCTCGCCTGGGAAATCCCCTGGACAGAGGCGCCTGGCGGACTACAGTCCATGTGGTTGCAAAAGAGCTGGACACAACTGAGTGACTAAACAACAGCAACAATACACCTATTAAACCATCAACACATTTAAGGCCATTTTCATCAGTTCCCCAAATTCCTTGTAGCCCCTTATAATGCATTACTCCATTCCTAGGCAACAACCTTTTTCTCTCATTGTTGACTAATTAACTTTTTAATTTTTTCCTGGAATCTTATATAAATGGAATCATATAGTATGTACTAAATTTAGTCTGGCTTCTTTCATTTAGTATAGTTATCCTGAGATTCATTCATCCAATCTATGTTGGAGCATGTGTCGATAATTTTAAACGTTTTATTTACCGGGACTATCCTATTGTATGGATATGCAATCTGTCTATCCTCCACTGTCCAAGGACATTTGGGTCATTTCATAGTTTTGGCTATTACAAACAAAGCTGCTATGAACACAGGTATACAAGTCTTTGTGAGAACACAGGTTTTCCTTTCTGTTGGGTAAGTTCTAGGAGCGGAACAGGTAGATCACATAGTAAGTGTATGTTTATCATTATTATTTTTTAATTCTTTTCAATTTCTACCAAAAAAGCCTACTAGAGTTTTAATTGGATTTGCACTGATCCTATAGCTCACTTTAGGGAGAAAGTATCCAGTTGCTCAATCAATAAACATGGTATGCCACACTACTCTACTGGGATTTATAATATAGTATTAGTTGCTCAGCTGTGTATGACTCTTTGCGACCCCATGGACTCTGATCCCCCAGGCTCCTTTGTCCACGGGACTTTCCAGGCAAGAATACTGGTGTGGGTTGCCATTCCCTTCTCCAGGGGATCTTCTCAACCCAGGGATTGAACCTGGGTCTCCTTAATTGCAGGCAGATTCTTTACTATCCAAGGCACCAGGGAAGCCCATTTATAACATAAGGCCATGTTAATTGAAACAAGCTTGTACTGGTTTATGAATACAGAATCAGAAGTAAATGAAACAGAACAGAACCCAAAGACCCAAATATATATGGGAAATAAGTTACAATAAAAGCTGTATCCGAATCCAATGGGGAGAAGATGGATTATCAATATACTAAGACAATCGGCTAGCTATCTGGAAAAAAAATTAAATTAGTTCCTTATTCACTCCTTACACCAAATAAAATCCCAGAGGGCCTAAGATTTCAATATAACAAAATGAAACTACAAATAAGAAAGTATGGGAGAATTTTTTTAAAAATTAAGTTTAATGCTTAGGACACAAAAGCAAAAACAAATTATAAAGGAAAAGATACAGGTAACATATAAAATGGCAAAAATAAATAAGATTATGACAGGACAGACTAGAAAACATGTGTAAACACAGTATGCTAGACTAGAGCTAACTTCTCTAACAAATTAAGGAACAGATGAACAGTGTAATAAAAAAGGGCAATACTACATGAGGAGGTCAATTATAATAATAGAAAAAGAAAACTCTCATATACTGCTGGTGGGCATCACCAATTGGAATGACTTTTTAAAAATATAAAAAATTATGCTCACTTTTATGAGGAGACAGTTGGCATTAATAGACCTGAATCATTACTAATCCACAAGACCTTGAATTCTCCAATTAAAACTCTTTATGTCTATCCGCACTTGCTACTAAATGATTACAGGACATATCTGTGTGTCTCTGGTTGCCCAATATTTGAATCTTTTTCCTAAGCTGGTGTCAGGTCTTTTTAGAATTCATCTTGATGGAAGGCTTTATTAAACTTCCTTGCAGCCAGGAAAGTAAAATGACTTTTATTGCAACACTGTCACCAAAAGTGTGGAAACAAAGTAAATGTGCCTAACACAGAAACTTGTCATATCAATTATGGAACATCCCTACAACATATAACGGGATACTATGCTATGGTTCAATGAACAAAGCAGTAGACTTCCTAATGATACCATGTTTCTGGTGGACAATTCCCAAATATCTGAATTTAAAATAAGTTTATCTGTTAACTGTGAAATCCCACTTTCAAGAATTTATCAGATATACCCACACATACACCCAAAGTAGAATAACATTTACTGCAACAATGTAAAAGCAAAAGCGGAGAAATAAGTTAAAGGCCCACCACTTAAGAACTTGTTAAATCAATAATGGAATGTATAACGGGATATGATGCTGTATTAAAATGAAAAAGGCAGCGCATTTCCTACTCATTCATAACAAATTCCAAGATATACTGTTATATCTTGTTATAAAGGGGGTAGAGGTAAGGAAGGTTCAGAACAGAACAGCACATAGAGTATGCAATCATTCATGTTTTTTAAGGTAGGTATAAATACATGTCAATAAACTATCTCTACAAAAATATCTAAGAAACTGATTAAATAAGTTTTAAAAATCATGTGTAGGTATATATTTTACCAAAAAGGTAAAATGGCTGGGAAACTTAATAGAGGAACAAGGAAAAAGACAAATATCCCTACAGTTGAGTACAGAAAAAAAAAAAAACCACCTTGTGAAAAATAGCCAAAGAGTACAAACAAGTCACAAAACGTGAAATGTAAATATCCAGTAAAGCCTATGAAAAGATGTTCAATCTCACCAGTTATCAAGAAAATATAAATAAAAACGTTTCACTTATTAGAATGGGGAGGAAAAAAAAAAGACGAACAGTATTCATCATTGTCGTGGCTGTGGGAAGTCATTTTGCAGTTATCTGTTCAAAGGAAGAAGTGTGCGTGCCCTTTGGCCCACTGAATCCACTTTGGGGATGCTAATTACAGAAATAACAGCACCTGTATAAAAAGATATGCTTACAAGTATCTTTACTGTAACAATATTTGTAATCACAAATACCTTGAAACAACTTAAATGCTATCAAATGACAAACAGCAATATATTGTCTGACATATAACCGTAAGCTTCTAGTATTTCTGTAAATGAAAAAAAAAAAATTAAAGACAAAAACCATAAATCAAGCCCTAACCTGAAGTCATCTTCTTCTTCTTTTTCCTGTTCTGCTCCCTCTTGCTTTCAATTTGGCTCTCTTCTTTTTTCTCTTCATCTTGTAGCTCCTGATGAGTTCTTAATGCTCCACAATCACCTGGGACAGATTTTTTGTTTCCAAAAAAGTCCAGTCCCTGTAGCACCTCCGAGGAATCAAGGTCATATTTCCTTTTTCCTATCTAAAACCCCAAAAATTTTAAATGAAATCTATGGACAGATTTGGCATTGTTATCACTCTAGCAGCACTGACAGTAAGGATGTGGGTACAATGACTCTCTATCTTTATTGTCTTTCACCAAATATCTGTTGAGCTGACAAGAGTTCGGGCAAATGGAATCCAAGATGATACCTTTTCTGACCTTCTAACAGTAATAATAATAATCGTAACAGCAACTAACACTTATAAGCATAACACTTATGCTTACTTAATCTGCATAATCCTAATACTGCATAATCAGACAGATTTCTAAGCATGTTTAGATATATTAAATTCCTCCTTCTTTCAACAACCCTAACAAGGTAAACAGCAAAACAGATGAGAAAAATCGAGCTTTTAACACGTTAAGTAACTTCACCACAGTCTCAAAACTGCTAACTGGAAGGCCCAGGATTTGAACTTGAATCATCTGGTTCCAGAGTTCAAGCTCTTAACTACACTATACCGTCAAAGAAAGAAGAAACACAGGTGAGGCACACACACAAAAACGTCTCTAGTCCCAATACCAAAGTTGATATTCAAGATTTTCCACAACTGGGCCCCAACTTCTCTCGATTTATCACTCACTACTACCCTCTGTAAGAGCGCCCATTTCAAATCGTTCTTCTCATTACTTAATACGCTGTGGAGTAGCGGGAATAAAAAGAACCATGCCCACGCAAGCCAAGACAAAAGGGAAGATCACCAGGAAATAATCTGTTCTCTCCGTTTGGGGTTGTTGCTGTTTTTCAAATTCTTTTCCATCAGTTTTGGAGAAAAGATAATTTTTGAGAGTAAGATTCTAACGGTGCTTTGAATAAACTCAAGAACAGCCAGGGCGGTTAAGTGGAGGTGAAACGTTTCCCGGCTAGACCCAACCAAGTCTAAGACAGGGAAACGGTTCATTCAGAAGGCTGCGATAAGCTGAACGCCAAAGGAGGGGAAATGCCCCACAACCAGGCCTCGGGGTCTCCGAGTGCGGGCTCCCCCAGCATTCGGCAATTTCTCCGGCTCCCACTCCTTACTCAGTTACTCGCGCTTCTGCCCACAATACCTGGAATCGAGCTGCGTCCGCCGAGAAGCGTCTCAAGTCGAATTTGGCACCCGCGCCGAGCCGGCGAAACAGATCGTGAGCATCCATCTTTACCCAGAAAGCTCCGTGGTCTCACAGCACCTGCGCAGAGGACTTCCTCTCCCAGAAGGCCTAGGGCGAGCGGAAGTGGCTCGGGAGGAGGGCGGGGCCTCCTGGCTGTGAGAAGTCGGGCAGGTTTACTGACTTACGGTGTGATGTTATTTGTTTGATTAAAAAGAAATTTATCCAGATCTTCTTATGCCAGGCACTCACTGTTCCAGACTTTTAGGGATAGTTTGGTAAACAACACTCCACGAATCTCACCTCAGGAAACTTACATTTTGGTGGTAATAGAAGATGTTAACAAACAAGCAAAATAATTCCTGTATCAGAAAAGTGATAATGAGACAAGGGTTAAGAATGGAAACAGGGAGGTCAGTCAAAGTAGAAATGATGGTGGTGGCTTAGACTAGGGTGGTATCTGAGCTGATGGAATTAAATGTGTAAATTTGAGATGCGTTTTGGAGCCAGATCTAAGTGTGCCTGATGAATTTCATGTGAGCGTAAGGGAGGAATCACTCCTAGGTTTTTGTTTTAAAATCTGGGGTAAGTGACATGCCGATTACTGAGCTAGGAAAGACTGAAGGAAGAACAGCTATTTTGTGTGAGGATGAAGCATGGAAGGTGGAAATTAATTGTTACGTTTTAGGCATGTTAAGATGCCTCATAGATTTAAAGTGGCAGTTAAGTCCAAGTGGGTAGTTGATTCCATGAGTCTGAAGCTCAGGGGAAAAGGTCAGGGCTAGAAAAATAAATTTAGGAGTCATCAAAATGTAAATGGTACAATGGGATCATATCAAACAAGCATTTAACTTATTGAGTTATACATATTCAACCATAGTGTGTGAGAAATACTTTAAATTGTGTGGCTCCTTTACATTCAAGAAAAGCAAATGTGGAGTGAGGAGATGAGGACTGAGAGTCTGCTGTGCCCACTGATGGAATTGGTCCCTAATTCTCTCATAGCAGAAGCAGCTTGTTGTTCCAGTTGTGTCTGCTCTTTAAAAATAAGTATTTTTCATGAAATGTGAAAGTTCAAGTACTTTTTCATCTATTGCTCAATGAAAACAATTTATCTCAGCACAGGAGGGGAAACAAATTTGAGTTTTTAGGAAATGGAGTATTGGTCTTCAATTTGGCACATAAATATGGCCACAATCATATGTAAAATCAACTTGTATGAAACCACAACTGCTGTAGTTTATGTGTGATTTAAGAAATTTCCAAAAATAGTTACACTTAATGAGTTTTTTATGAGCTGACTTTACAACCCAATCCTTGTGTAAGTGTGACAAACCTATATGTAAAAGCATGATCATAAATGTAATCACTTAGATTCTGTGAATAGGGAAGAGAAGAGAACCTAGAACTGACCTTTAGTGTACTCCAGCATTTAGAGATCAGGTAGAGGAGAATGTAACTATAAAAATTTGAGAAGCAGTCAGTGACGTAGGAAGACAAGGAATGTGGTATTCTGGCAGCTAGACAAAAGTTTCAGAAAGAAGGTAGTGATCAGCTGTTTAAAAAACTGTTGAGAGGCTGAGCATAAACAAAAAAGATCACTGAATTTGGCAACATGGCGGTCACTAGTGACCTGATAATTTCAGTGGCAGGGAGGATGGAAATGAATGAGCGGCTAGAGGTGGAGAACTGGAGACTGTGATGAAGCCAACTCTTTCCAAAGGTTTAACTGAGAAGGAAAGCAGAGAAGTAGAGAAGTAACTAGAGGCAGATAGGTGTTCAAAAGCAAGTTTTGCTTTTTGTGTTCAGTGTTTTTAAAGATGGGTGCTAAAGGAAATTTGTAAATTTCAAGGAATGATGCAGTGAAAAGATGGAAATTATTGATGGAACAGAGGAGGGGAGAATAATGGGATGGACATGGGATGTGATTTTTTCAGGGAGTGTAGGAGGGCTGAGTAGTAGGAAGTGATATGAAATAACATTCCCTGTAGTCAAAGCCATGGTTTTTTAAGTGTATGAATGAATGTGAGAGTATGCATCTTGGGAGTTGAACCATAAAGAAAGCTGAGTACAGAATTGATGCTTTTGAAATTTGGTGCTGGAGAAGACTTGAGAGTCCCTTGGACTGCAAGGAGATCAAACCAGCCAATCCTAGAGGAAATCAGTCCTGAATATTCATTGGAAGGACTGNTTGAAATTTGGTGCTGGAGAAGACTTGAGAGTCCCTTGGACTGCAAGGAGATCAAACCAGCCAATCCTAGAGGAAATCAGTCCTGAATATTCATTGGAAGGACTGATACTGAGGCTGAAACTCTGATACTTTGGCTATCTGATGTGAAGAGCTGACTAATGGAAAAGCCCCTGATGCTGGTAAAGATTGAAGGCAGGAGGAGAAGGGAACGACAGAGGACAAGGTTGGATGGCATCAACAACTCAATGGACATGAGTTTGAGAAAGCTCCAAGAGATAGTGAAGGACAGGGAAGCCTGGCATGCTGCAGTCCATAGGGTCACAAAGAATCAGACACGACTAAGTGACTGAACAACGACAGCAGCATTCTCTAAGAATGGGAAAATTTCTCTACTGGGGAAAAGCATAGTACCTCTGGGCAGAGAATGCCCGTTTGAGTTGGAGACCATGAATTAAAAAAAGAGACTAATCAGCATGATTTAGCTGCTTAGATGAAAGTGTGAAGAAGTTCTATTGCTGGCTTTAGCCAGGACTAAAGTTTTTCAGGTGTATGTGGTAGAAGATTATGGCACAACCCTGTACTCCCTTTCCGCCAACAAAAGTCCCTTGGGATTGATAGTCAACAAAGGTTTGACCTCCTGAGAACCAAGAAGGAAGGGGAAGTACATAGGCATGGGTCTCTTTTATTAAGAATAATACTCTGCATTATATTAACAAACTAACTTGCTTCCCTTCTTTCAGAGGAAAGAGTTGTATTGAGTGTTGAGTATATGTATTTTATTTTCATAAGCACATAGTTGGAGTTAAGTCTAAGTTTAAATTCCTCCCAGCCTCTCTGCCTATTAGCTGTGACCTGATCAAATTAACCTCTCTTGGTCTAATTTCCTCATTTGTAAAATGAGGATCATGAAACCTATGACAGAATTGTTATGAGTATTAAGCAGCACTCATAAGGCAATGGTATATAGTGGAAGGAGCGTGGGTTTTGGGCATCAGAAAGACTATGTGAATCATTTAATAATTTGATCTTCTTAGGGTATTTCACTGCTCTGTGCCTCAGTTTCATCACTGGTAAAATGAGGATTATAGGATTATAATATCTACCTTGAAAGCTAGGAGTAATATTGGTTCACCACACAGAGCTCAAATGGTAAGAACTGGCTCAGGATTCTCTTATCTATGTATCTGTCAATCATCTATCATTTATCTTTTTATATACCTGTCTATTTTTCTATCTTATGTATCTATATTTGTCTATATTAGGAATATATATTACATATATGTGTGTCTTATTATATAAAGCTTTTGGAACAAAATTTCAAACACAGTAGATGCTTAATAAATATTAGTCATTATCTTGCAATCCATTCTCCTAATGCAATAGTTCTTTTTTTCCTTTTTTTTTTTTTTAAAGCAATAGTTCTTGACCTTAACAGCACAGAATACCCTGAGGAACTTAAAAAACAAAACAAAACAAAACTGGGTCCCACCGCCAGAAATACTGGTTTAATTGTTCTGGAGTAGCTCTCTGGCCTGTAATTTTTGAAAGCTTCTGAAGTGAATCTAATTGCTGTCAGGATTAAGAATCATTGCTAGAGTCATCTTTCTAAAGCCCAAGTGAGACTATGTTGCTTCTCTGCTTAAAAATTTCTCATGACTTCTGCAGTGGGCTAGTGGATAGGAATCTGCCTGCCAATCACACACGGGTTTGATCTGGCCAGTGTGCCACAACTACTGAGCCTCCTTGCTTCAACTACTGAAGCCTGCATACCTAGACTAGAGCCCATGCTTCACAAGAGAAGCCACAGCATGGAGAAGCTACACAGCACCGCAAAGAATAGCCCACACACTGCAGCAAAGAGTAGCCCCACTGGCCGCAACTAGAGAAACCCTGAGCACCGCAATGCGAACCAGCACAGCCAAAAATAAATAAACCCATTTTTAAAGATTTCTCATGATTTCCTGTCATCTACTGAATGTGGTCTGAGCTCACGTGGCATGTATGCTAGACCCCGAGCAGTGATTCTCAACACTCTCAGGACACATGACACACTCCCATAAATAACTTTGGCTTGGGTTCGGCTGCCTCCAGTTCTTTGACTTGCTAGTTGTGTGATCTTAGGCAAGTTACTTATCCTCTCTAAGCTTTAGTTTTATCATCGAATTTCAGCTATGCTTCTTCTAACTCTGAACCTTTGTACCTATTTTGCTTTCTTCTTGGAATGTCCTCTCTCTTTTTGAACTATGGCGAACACCTTATCTTCAAAATTCAGTTTTATGACTTATGATTACCAGGACTTCTCGGTGGTTCAGACGGTAAAGTGTCTGCCTACAGTGTGAGAGACCTGGGTTCAAACCCTGGGTTGAGAAGATCTCTTGGAGAAGGAAATGGCAACCCACACCAGTACTCTTGCCTGGAAAATCCCATGGACGGAAGAGCCTGGTAGGCTACAGTCCATGGGGTCGCAAAGAGTCTGACATGACTGAGCGACTTCACTTTCACTTTCATGATTACCAGAAGGGTGGGGGGGCATGAAGGGATAAATTGGGAATTTGGGATTAACATATATTTTATATATATATATATATGTGTGTGTGTGTATACTGTATATGTATATAAACGATCTATATGTAAAAGGGTCTATTGTATAGCTCAGGGAACTATATTCAATGTCCTGTAATAACCAATAATAAAAAAGAATCTGGGACTTCCCTGGTGATCCAATGGTTAAAAGTTCACCTTCCAATAATCCAAAATCTTGAAAACAAAATGGAGTTACAGATAAATAGCCTGGAGACAAGGATTGAGAAGATGCAAGAAATGTTTAACAAAGACCTATAAGAAATAAAAAAAAAACTTCACCTTCTAATGCAGGAGGTG